CACACATTTTACGATCAATGTGGCCACTGGCCAATGCGGGCCAATGACCAACTCTGATGCTTGTGCTTCGCGAAGCGGCGAACGGTGTGGCATGATTGACATGGATGCAAGCCTTTACAATCAATGTGGGCGGGCTGTGGCCGATGCTTCATGATTGATTCTAACGCTCACGCTTTGCAAACAATGTGGCATGATCAACACGGATGCACGCATTTTACACTTGTTATGACCGTCAAGAATATATATGCTATACAGAATTCTACACTGTGTGATGATCATCAATCATCATCATCAGATGATGATGATGGGGCATTGGCCACATTGATCATAAAATGCGTGCATCCATGTCAATCATGCCACATTGCTCGTGAAGCGGAAGCACGAGAGTCAGAATCGATCATTGGGATTGGGCATCAGCCACATCAATCGTAAAATGCGTGCATCCATGTCAATCGTGCCGCATTGATTGCAAAGCGAGAGTGTCAGCCACATCGATCGTAAAATGCGTGCATCCGTGTCAATCACGCTGCACACTGCAGTGACTGCACAGTTTGCAAATCTAGAGCTTTGTAAATGTAATTGATGATTGGCATCGGTCATTGAATTTTTCAAAATAGCGTTTTTCACCATTTTTTCAGGAATTTTTCAAAGCTAGTAAATGTAGTATTTTTTGACTTCCTATAATAAATAATCGTTCATACTACATAGATAGGAAAAATGTTGACATTTACGCCACTATATTAAGTTTTGCAATATTGCAATTTCAAATTAGTTTTGTTACTAAAACAGTTTTACGCCATGTTGGAGGACTGTCCCGAGTTAACCCGCTGGGCCCGCCAGTCCTGAGTAGCCCCAGTTGATGGTAATGTAATGTCATGTTGTGTGGTGTTATGAGTCGTAGTCTGTCGTGCTATCTTGTGTAAGTTGTGTTATGCCACATTAATTGTAAAGTGCGTTAATCATCGTGCATCAGTCGCATCAATTGTAAAGCACATGTGTTGGTCATCGGGCATCGGCCAAATCGATCTTTGAGCGTGCCTGTGTTGATCATCCGGTGTAGGCCTCATCGATTGCGCAACGGGAGCATCAGAATTGATCCTTGGGCATTGGCCGCATCAATCGTAAAATGTGTGCATCCATGTCAGTCATGCTGCATCGTTTGGGAAGCGTGAATGTCAGAATCGATCATTGGACATTGGCCACATTGATCATAAAATATGTGCATCCATGTCAATCATGCCACATCTTTCACGAAGCAAGAATGTTGACTATATCAATTGTAAAATGCGTGCATCTGTATCGATCATACCGCATTGTTTGTGAAGCGAGAGCACCGGCAAATTGATCGTAAAATGTGTGCATCTGTATCGATCATGCTGCATCGTTCGTGGAATGTGAGCACCGGAATCAATCATTGAGGATCGGCCACATTGATTGCAAAATGCTTGCATCCAGGTAAATCATGCCGCATTGTTCGCAAAGCACGAGCGTTGGCCACATCAATCGTAAAATATGTTCATGCCTGTTGATCATTGATCATAAAGCGCAGGTTCTATGTTGCTCATTGATTGTAAAGCACAGGCATCTATGTTGATCATTGAGCAACAACTGCATTGATCGCGCAAGTGCATGCATCATTGTTGGTCATCGGGCATTGCTTGAATCGATCCTAAAGCGCGCGTCAGTATTGATCATCAGGCATCAGTCAGAGATACACTTTTGTTTTTCTAGCAAACATACTGGCAAATTTCTTTCCTGGCATGCTGGCATACATCCCAAAATGGGCCTCTGGCGCACGCGCCGCACCTTCCAGACCGTGGCGACCACATTGGGATACCGATGTAAAGTCGAGATGGCTGATGAAGATCCTCTAAAGATGCCAATATCTCGAGCTAAAAGGCTATACTCTACAGACTGGGACTGGCTCTAATGTAATAAATTTTGGTTTGATTGAAAAAATTGCACTTTGCAAACATGTCGAATTAGAGCAAACTCCGTTTTAGGCTGTTTGCTTTGAACATTTTAAAGCTCTATTTGATCTTTAGATTGTTTTTTCCTCGAATTTAATCGTAGCGATAAAGAAAAAGGAAGAAAGCGGCCTTTGGCAGCTTTGCTACCGTTGACCTTGAGTGGTGCAGCAGCCAGCTGGGGTAGTCTGCCTGCCTTCAATCGTCGCTACGACGCAGTCCGTGCAACTACGCAGCTCTTCTTGACTGCTTTGCATCACATATACAGTCGTACGATCAAGTGAGTTTTAGGCACATACCCCTGCAATTATCATTTGGTAATTGTAAGGCTTTTTAGCCTTAATCATTAGGCATCTTCCACTTTGATCGCAAAGAGCGCGCATCAGTATTGATCATTGGGCATCGGCTAAAACGATCGTAAATCGCGTGCGCTTGTGTCGATCATTAGGCATCGGCCAAAACGATCGTAAATCGCGTGCGCTTGTGTCGATCATTAGGCATCGGCCACTTTGATCGCAGAGAGCGCACTTCTGTGTTGATCATTGGGCATTGGCTAAACCGATCGTAAATTGCGCGTGCTTGTATCGATCATTAGGCATCTTCCACTTTGATCGCAAAGAGCGCGCATCAGTATTGATCATTGGGCATCGGTTAAAACGATCGTAAATCACGTGCGCTTGTGTCGATCATTAGGCATCGGCCACTTTGATCGCAGAGAGCGCACTTCTGTGTTGATCATTGGGCATCAGCTAAACCGATCGTAAATCGCGTGCACTTGTGCCTATCATAAGGCATCGGCCACTTTGATCGCAAAGAGCTCGCATCACTGTTGATCATTGGGCATCGGCTATATAGATTGTAAAGCACGTGTGTTTGTGACGATCGCCAGGCATCAATCGTAAGTACGTGTGCCTGTGTCGATCATGCAGCTTTGGAGAGGGTTACACTTCCGTTTTTAGCAAGCATATTGGCAACTTTCTTACCTGGCGTACATCCCAGAACAAACCTCAGGCGTACATGCTGCACCTTCCTGACCATGGAATGTGGCCAATGCTCCCGCTTTGGGTTCGATGAGGCACGATTGACATGGATGCACACATTTTACGATTGATGTGGCCAATGCCCAATGACCAATTCTGATGCTTGTGCTTCTCGAAGCGGTGAACGGTGTCGCATGATTGACATTGATGCAAGCATTTACAATCAATGTGGCCGATGCTCCATGATTGATTCCAATGCTCACGCTTTGCAAACAATGTCGCATGATCAACATGGATGCACGCATTTTACACTCGTTATGACCATCGAGAATATATTACCTATACAGAATTCCATACTGCTGAGTGATAATGAAGATGATGATGGGTGCATTGGCCACATTGATCATAAAATGCATGCATCCATGTCAAACATGCCCCATTGTTCGTGAAGCGCGAGAGTCAGAATTGATCATTGGGCATCAGCCACATTAATCATAAAATGTGTGCATCCATGTCAATCGTGCCACATTGATTGCAAAGCGAGAGTGTCAGCCACATCAATCATAAAATGTGTGCATCCGTGTCAATCACGCTGCACAGTTTGCAAATCTAGAGCATTGTAATTGATGATTGGCATCGGTCATTGAATTTTTCAAAATAGCGTTTTTACCAAAAACAATCTAAAGATCAAATAGAGCTTTAAAATGTTCAAAGCAAACAGCCTAAAACTCCGAGCTCTAATTAGATTGTTTTCGTTCCTCAAACGAAAATTTTCTTAAATTTTTCAACTTCCTAAATTGGCAGTATATATACTTCAATGCTCCTGGCTCCTGCCAAAATAACATGCAGAATGTAATAACAAGTCAACTCAAAACATTTCCTACATGAAGATCGCGTAGTTGTGGTCACGTCAGAGTGGTTACTGTCATACTGTATTATTATGTTCAGTAACTTCAGTTGCCACTTAAGTGAATACAAATGCTAGTGACTGTTTTTTGTATGGGACTTTGTAAGTAACTTGGGACTTTGTATGCATGGGACTTTGTAAATAACAAGTTTGTGGGTCATAAATGGCTTTTCACGACAGAGGTATGGAATTCATGGCTCAAAGAAATGGAATCACGGCTGGCAAACCCATGAAGCCATGGCTCAAAGAAATGGAAATGCAGCTGGCATACCCATGAAGCCATGGATTGGAAAATCCAGTTGCGGCTCATCAAGTAGATATATTCTATGCCTGGCTCTAGTCGCAGCCTTAAAGGTAGATGTTTTCCACGCTTGCTGTTGACTGTTGGATCAACTTGCTGTTGACTGTTGGATCAATGTAGTGGTCCTCTTCTCTGTGAGGGAGTCTTCCCTCATAATGTCAAGAATTGCTCTAATGCTGGTAATTCAGCAATAAAATGTTGCAACTGTGGAGGTCCTCTCACAGCCAATTATAGTTGATGCCCTTGAGCAGTGAAAGGCCAAGGAAGAAGCAAAAAAGTCAGTTGCCACGGAAACTTTGAACAACCATGAATAGCCATGAGCCACAGTAACAGTTAAACAATTGTTTTTACCTCAAATTTTAGAAAAATTCTTCCCAATATTTCCAATGGGGCTCCCAAGTGACCAATTTTTCACACAGTTTTAATCTTGCAGCCTAATTGAGTTTTGGGAATAGGTGAGACAGTGAGATAAGGAATTCATCTAGTGGGAATCTTGCAACTCCAAAAATGGCAGCAAAGCACTAGTTGCAGCCCAAACAGTAGATATATTCCATGACTGGTGAGCATGTGCCTAGATGTGCCAGGTGAGCATGTTCCTAGATCTAGGCAAATCGTTCCTGTACTCTGGAAGCCCAGGTTCATTTTTATTTTCTTTAAAATGGGACCAGGTGGCATGCATTAGTGATAGAGCTAGTTTCCACCCTCCATCTCCAATTCTCCATGGACCGTTTTTTATGAAAATATTATGAAATAACTTCTTATTTCCTTTGATTTATAACACTTACCACTAAAATTTACTATATTAATATATATGATGAAAATTTTTTAAATAAATGGCAGATATAAAAGATGCTTTCATATGCTTTTCAAAAACTTGATGATAATTAAATTTCTATTTCTTTGTTAATCATATGTTAGAATTAAACACCTTGTACAAATTTATTTTTTCCAAAAAATCCTGTGCCAAATATATAGTTTTTGCTCATATTCAAACTTGATATCAGACCAGAAACTTATCCTGATGGATGTGTTTGAATTTTTACGCTACGGTGCGCAAGGCAAGTATATCAATACGTTTTTGTATTATTTTTTACATTTACTTGATGGGTTTTGAATTTGTTAGTTATTTTGCTATTTGGTTTAGCTATTATTTTACTTATAATGTTTAGAATTACAGTATTATTTTATTATAGATTAAAAATGGTAAAAAGTTAGTTGTTATATACGGTATGAAAAGATTTATTCTTTATGTTGCTCAAATATAGGAAATGATTTTTCACCTGTTTATATTAGATTTTGCTACAGGCCAACCTTGAACATCTTTTCATATAGGTAGGTACCTACATATTCACAATATATATAGGCATGGGCATTGTGGTTGCAAAACTATTTAGCTTCTTATTTTCTCATCATTTGATAATAGAATTATGATTTTTATCATGTGTAAGTTTCAAAAAATTCCATCAGAAGTCACTGAATTTATGTTTTCAAGCATGTGTGTTATAAGAGCCTTTGGAGCTATATAGTCATATGAATCTCCAATGTAGATTTAGATGAATATACACTACCTATATCTACGATGGTCCCTTATTACCTAGGTAAATTTGTTCTATGTCATCAGTCTTTATTTTAATGTTCACTTGCATTTCACAGCTATAAAACTTATCTTTGCAAACAACATGTAAGTAGAGTGCAAATTGAAGGAGAACGCACTGCATCTATATAAATACATGTAAAAAGCATCAGGTTTGAATTATATCTAAGGTTGCTAATATAATGATCTTTAGTTTTCATTCATTTGTCAAATGTCATACATTTAATTTTTGAAATTTGAATCAATCTGCTAATTGTGCTAAATGATTTGCTATTGCAAAAATTTAACTGTTGTTGTGCTAACACTGAATGTCTAATTAGAATGATTTTTCTGATAAAATGATGATAAAATTTTGCATGTTCTGCAAAACAATGGAAAATTCGTCAATGCCTGTTTTGTGCTATTAAATTGGAAAAAAATGGACCTCATCATGTGTAAGATATTTAGGCTGGGAAGTTGAGTGCAGTCCCAACATCAGTCATTGTAGATAGCTTTTGGTCAGATGAGTTTTTATTGATGAATTGTACTTTGACTGGAGTATAACTATATTATTAGTCCATGTCCTGCATACGTACTGTAGTTACTTTTTTTTTAATTTACCTATGAAAATTAGTTAAGAATTGGCAAAGAAAGCCAATTTTTTCTAATTAATTAATTAGAAAAAAATTAATTGCCTGGTGAGCCAATAAATTCAATATATTCACATGTCATGTTCCTATAACAACAATCCCTATTCTTTCTACCTGCTTGTCAAATTACACATACATTGTTTTTAATCTGCCTTGCTTTCTTGTAGACAAAAATTGCCATAGGTACTCAATCCTTAATTTGAAAATTCCAATTCACTGACACGGTTCATATATGCTGTCCACAAAATAGTGTTTTATTTTTGTTCAGATTGTTCATATGAAACAAATGCTGACGATAAAATGACATCAGAAATACTGTACATATTGCATTCTTTCATTTTTTGCTCTACTTTGCCTTATGGCATGTTTGGAAATGTGAAAGCAAGGTCTATGACATTATTAAGTCTTAAGTTTAAATTTGGCAGGTGCATTTTAGAAGACACTATAACCCAATATTCAGGTGTCATTATTACTCCCAAATTCTATGAAACCTATAAGGTTTTGTAACTGAATTTTCAAATTTCAATTGCAAGGAAAGTATGAATGGAAATTTTATTGTGAATATGATGTTCAAATTAAGTCTAATGGGAGCATATGGAACGGATCACTTTACAGACGGATCACTTTGAAACTTGGTACACATGTGTAAAACAGAAAAATAGATGGCTTTTATTCATGTTAGTTTTTTGAAAAAATGAGTGGGACTTTGCTGCACTCTCCTGAACATTCACACTTATTTTCACTGGAAAACTATCTCCTCCTACAGTTTTGAAGCTACAGCGATGAGAGATAAACCATTCGATTTGCAAATAAAAGATCTAGAGATTTATCAGAGCTTTTATTCAATTTCATTATGGTTTTTTGAATATTTTGAAAAAGGGGGGAAATTTTCTCCCTGTGTCTGACTGGGAAATAAGAAAATTTACACATGCATTCATTGATGGTTGAAATGGTGACGTCATACATTTGCGCGCCCGATTGGAAATTAAAGGTAATGAACAGTACTCATTTTCACAATTCTCACGGAATTGCACAGAACTGCCATCCCTCTCGAACAGCTTTTTCTCTTTCCCCTTTCAAACGGCTTTCCCTTTCAAGCTCTTCTGATGAAACGTTTTTTTTCAATTTCTCTACGTGGATAAAAAGGAGTCCTAGGTTAGGAGAGAACCATTTTTAACATGAATTTAGCGTTATAGGTAGTTTATTTTCTCATTTATTCCTTGAAGTGTGACAAACAAATAAGTCTACAATCATGCTCGTTTCCATTTGAATTAAAAATAAATGATGCCCATTTTGAATGTATGTATAGCCTAAGCATTTGTGTGTATTTTTGACTGGGAAATTAGAAAATTTACAAAAAATGCTTACCACCATCAAAAATTTTAATTAAAAAAAAAGCTCTGTCGAATCAATAGATATGGTCCTTCTGCATTGAATGATATGCGTCTCGAGGTTGTAGCTTGAAAATCCGAGGCAGAGATAGTTTTCTATGGTACTCCCATTATGGCCATTTTCTAAGAATTTAATGTTTTTTTCAATTTTTTTTAAAATTGACATGAATTAAAGCTGTCTATTTTTCTGTTTTACATATGTGTAGCAAGTTTCAAAGTGATCTGTCTGTAAATTGCCAAGATGAAATTTTAGCCAGACACTCCCCTTAAAAAATAGTTAATGTCTTTTTGCAATTTAATTTTAAACAAATAGAATTAAACAGCAATGTGAATACAACTGTGATTAAGTGTTTTCACAAATATACTATATGAAAAAAATATTCACTGGTCATAATTTTTGAAATGGAAACCTGTAATCTTTCCAGTATCTACATATTTGTACATGTTCCAATTTTATAGCTCTCCTTCTCAAATTATATTCAAAATTTTTGGAATTCATGACAAAAGGTTTGTTTTAACATCTTCTGTGCAGTATCTCTTTTCAATATCTATATAAAATATATATATTTATAATTTGACAGTTCTTACTCTATAATTTGTTGGCACATGTGTTAGCAGTTTTTAAAAGGTTATTATAAACCTAAATAACATAATCGGTTTTCTTTCAGAGTCGAGCTTCAAATTGCAACAACAGATGGAGCGTTCAGCCGGAGATGGAGAAGATGCAGCTGAGCCCAGCCTGCCTGAAATTTCTACTCCTGTTCTTCTCAAGACTCCACTCAGTGAAGCTGGTGGAGATGCTAGCTCCTCCAACAGTGTTTCTGTTGCTAATTTTTTCACCAATGCTCCTCCAAATACTGGTATTCCTGCGGTCAAGAGTCTCACTCCCTATAGGATAGAAGGAATACACAAGCATAATCAAGAAAATAAAAATGCCCATTTTAATGCACCAAACATGATTAAAAGAGACATCAAAGAAACTACCGTCAAAAATGAATGTATGAGAAAGTTAGTAAATAATGGTGAGGGTACATTGAAGCTCAAGAAAGATGACCAGCCAGCGCTTGATTCATCTTTTGTCACAAACAAGGTGTATAGCCTAGTTAAAAGTCTTCCAACAGATGCCATCTTTTCACCTGTAGATGCAGAATTGTTGAACACTCCTCCAGTAGACTTGGCAAATAAAATCAAAGTGGCAATGAGTCCCAAGCCGCCTGGTGCACCCACTTCCAAACATTCCACCATTAAATACATTAAAGTTTGTCGCAAGATGCACAATGAACCAAAGTTTGTTCCTTATGAGCCTTATAAATGTTGCTCAAGTCCTATGAAGGGTAAACCCACTCACACAAAATTTGTGAAGGGAGATTTAGCAAAGACATCTGAACCGGTATTGCCTGCAGTCTTACCTGGAGTTGCGGTTCAAAAGACCGGCCTGGCCAAGTCCAGAGCAACTCTTGATATTGCTGTTGTAGACTTTGAGGCTGAGAGAGAGCAGTGGCAAGACGAAGTTAAGATTTGGAAGGGGAAATATGAAGCCTTAGAGCAGCAGTTGCAACGCTGCCAGAGAGAGAAGACTACACTTGAGGACCAACTAAATGTTCAAGCTCAGGTATGTCTCATTCCATAGCTGAGGCACTAAATCACTGCCAGTGGCTGTGGGATTTAATGGCTATGAGTTTTTTTATTGTACCTTTCTGCTGGTCCTAATTGGAAGGAACCCACCAACTGGCCATTAGTGGAATCACTGAAACAAATATCCATTGCTGTAATCACTTTCATACCAACTGATCATTAATATCAACAACGTAATATCTGGTAATTACTGAAATCACAGTTCTGGTAATTACTGTTACTTATCACCATACCAATCAAGGTATGTGGATCACCACCAGCTTTAATCACAATAAACTCTTTATCAATAACTGCACAAGCAGCTGGTCATTACTGTCATTATCCCTTAAACTGAAATAACCTGTCCATTATTTTACCAAATTTGTTGCGTTTGCTTTATGTTGATTTTTGTATTCTAACTAAATTGTTCAAAAGTTTCCGTCATCAAGCCGTAACACATAGTTGGTCAAATTCTCAGTATACTAATGATACCAGTCACTCTAATTTGTAGTGATTGTTCTTTCATTAATCTTGCCTCAATTTGAATTTTTGCATTGCAACTTTTCCTCTCCTATGAATATTTTTACACAATAAGAATAGTATTTTTTAGCATTAAGAGGGATTTAGAGAGCCAAATTTATCTTGCTGTGGCTGAGACCAAAGTAAGCAGCTGATAGGAATCATGTTTGTGATCGTTTTCAATAGTGTTGGTGACATCATTACTGTAGCGTTTGTGACATGTAAATGCCTGTGTACGAGTGTATCCACAAATAATATAAGCATTTAATAAATTTCTGTTAATAATGATGCAATAATAAAACGTTTTGGTGTCAGGTGAACAGTGAGCTGAAGAAGCTGCTGGTGGCATCCGTGGGAGAAGACGTGCAGGGACGCATGCACTGCCTCACGGAGGACAAGGCACGCATGGCTACCATGATCCGGCGGTACTCTGAGAAACTTGACAGGGACTATGAGGAGCGAGAGCGCATGACTATCCTTTGTGATGTCTGGAAGAGCAAGTTCCTGGCAAGCAGGTATGTATGTGAATTGAGATTAGAGGTTTTATAGGTGTGAACAGGTATGTCTGTGAATTGAGATTAAGCGTTTCAGTGGCGTGAAATGTACATTTATGAATTGCTAGGACATTTTTTTGTATTGGGACACATTGTAGTATGGTATTAGATTTCTAGTATTTAAGTAATCTACAGTGCATGCTTTCCTGTGCACAGCCTGCTTAAAATATATGAACAAAGACGGTAAAAAAATCAAGTCTGTAAAATACAAAGGATTACTTATACCGTAATATTCATTTTTCTATGGATTCTTTACAAAATTTCATGACGTTTGATTATATGTCTGAAAGAAAGCAAACAGGGAACAGTTGTTCATACAAGTCTCATTAGAGAAAAAAACTAGCTCTCTATTATTGATAATTATTCCATATAACTGATGCATGCTGTGCAGTGTGCTGGTAGAGGAGCTGGGCAGCTGGAAGGCGGCGCTGCTGCGCTGGACAGCTGAGGCGGCCGAGGCGCTACAGGCGCTGCTGGACGAGCAGGCGCTGCTTCGCTGCCACGCCAGGCGTGGTTACAGGTTCTGTTTATAGTTATTACTTTGATAATTGTTAATTTAATTAGAGGACGCAGTCTGTTGAGGACTGTGCATTTCATTTTCACTCATTTTTGACGAGTCAAGTCTCGTTATGTACCCAAATTCATATACTATTTCCTTTTTAATTTCCGCGAATTTAATTATTCTCTTATCTATTAAAAAGAAATATCAGTGATCTAGCATCATTTTTTATTTTTCTCACGTTCTCTTTTCCACTACATTTATAGTATGTTCAATGTTTACTCTTCATTTATTGTATGTTCGATGTTTACTCTACATTTATTGTATGTTCAATGGGTACTCTTCATTTATTGTATGTTCAATGTTTACTCTACATTAAATGTACATTCTATTTTACCTCTTCATTCACTGCATAACATAGAATTTTTGCCCGGTGTCATGGCCCCGTTTGTGCAGGCTGCTGGGGGAGCTGGTGGGGGCGTTCGACCCCCTACAAGCGGGGCCTGACAGCCACGTGGCGGGGCTGGGGGGCGACGCCGTGTCCGCGAGCATCGCCGTGGCAGCGCAGGCACAGACGCTCCACCAGCGCCTGCTCGCCCCCCTCGCTGCCCCCCCGCCCCCCGTCGTCCTCCCCGATGAAGAGAGGACTCCTGGCGAGAAGATGGCGGCTCAGGTGAAGGGATGGCGTATGCGATGCTTTTTCGGTCATCACATTTCCAGCTTTTAAATAAAGAGTCATTTAATGACTACTAATGCAAGGTTGATGTTTGCATGGATATGTTCTGCTGAGCTGAAGTACTAAAGACTTGCAGACATGATGCTAGGTCTGACTGTACATGGCTATGTCTGACGGCACCTGACTGTACATGGCTGTGTCTGACGGCACCTGACTGTACCTGACTGTCTGACGGCACCTGACTGTGTCTGACGGCACGTGATGTACATGGCTGTGTCTGACGGCACCTGACTATGTGCAGGTGCTTGAGAGGCGCACCAGCTGCGTGGTGTACCCGGGGTACGTGGGCTCAGGAGGCAGCTTCCCTCTCTCCCCCACCAGCTGCGTGCTGCCCTCGCACACCACCCTCAACTGCTGCGCCAGCTGCAACGGCGAGATACAGCTGGTGTAGTGCCGCCAGCTGCCCTCAACTGCTGCGCCAGCTGCAACGGCGAGATACAGCTGGTGTAGTGCCTCCAGCTGCCCTCAACTGCTGCGCCAGCTGCAACGGNGACCAAAAACTGTCTCTTATACACATCTAGATGTGTATAAGAGACAGATATTAGACTTATATATTATAAGCTTAATTCTAAAGACTGCTGCTCGGAAATCTAACTTCATGTCTTGATTTTGGTGCATTGAAGTTATCAATTTCAGTATTTTAAAAAATTTTTGTTACCTAAATTATTGCTGAGGACTTGCACTCCCTGCACGTTTCTTATTTTGCGTTCAGTTATGTAGTGTTCAGTTGTTCAGCACGAGCGGGGAAATACAAGTGTGGCGGCTTGAATTGCTCTCGTATCGACTTTGCTTAGGTGTCTCTTACATTTTATTATCCTAATGAATTCTGTAGAAGAAAGGTTCATAATTTCAATAACTTCTATATATTTACTACTCATAGCGGACATTTTTCCCCCGTACCGATATTTTCTCCCTGACTTCTTTTGCCAGATTATTGCTAGAATATGAGGTGCAATACAGGCGAGGAGTTTCTCAGGTGGATCAAGCTTTGGTGCGGTTTCAGGTATCTACATCTGAATAGGTTGAATGTTACTGATATACTTAAGTAAGTTCTATGCCTCAAATATACTCAAATGGGTTCTATGCTTTGATTTTTTTGGTATGTGGTTTGCTCTTTTTTGGTAGAAAGATCACAAAGATATTTAGATCGTTAGACATGGCGAAAGGTTCAATTGATGAAGATTTACAACAATTCTGTGCAATAATTGAGTAATGTAACTTACGCCATGTTGAATTTGTAGACGTTATATTCTGCTAATGTAGGTTTATTATCCAAATAAATATATTTTCAGCGTTTCTTATTTACTTGTTCCTTTACTCGGTTCCTATTATTTCACGTTCCCTCCCTGAGGATCTGATGCATGTTTCTGCCCATAAGTTAGCCCACATGGGGTGGGTTATTTAACTCGTGTGAACGTTGCCATTTGGACTTCAAGACATCTTGAAGTTGTTCCTATTCCTTGCATTCTGTTTGGTCAAGAAGCCCGCAACCGAGGTGCGGGCAAAGACTGGTAGGTTTGATGGCATGCGACGATAACACAGCCAGATTTCCTGTACCGGACACCCCGTGATGACATGAGTGGATGACACAGCCACAAATCCTGTACCGGACACCCCAGTAAGTTGTGCGTGAGGTGGACCTCCAGCACGAGACGAGAGATACTGTTTGGCGCACTCGACATCGGGTCAGAGGCCTGGATAAGTGTTGTCTAAATCGCGTTTGTTGAAATGAATTGAGTGAAGAAAGACGGCTTCAGTGAAGCATGGGGAGATGAAGCCTAGATTTGATCCTATTAGATGTTGCTCTGTGCGGAAGATTTTTGGTGGCGAGTTGTTTAGTGGTTGGTTTATTATGTTTTGGATAAAGAGTTCTACACTTTGTAAGCTCTGCAATTGTGCATGTGTTCGGTGGTGGTTGGATGTGGGTTTGGTGTATGTCGGGTAAATCGTATACATTTTATTATATTTATTCTTGAAGCCCGAAACTGGAAATATGTAGGGGATATTGTACGGGTATCAATGATACCTACCGTATCGGCATAATGCATTGAATTTAAAATTTAATTCTTGGGACTGCAAATAAATTGTATTTATAGTATCGTAATTCAAAACTTGGGGATGAGTGGGGCTCTTTTGTTTGAATGAGTCCTTTTGAATTATCATCAAATCTGAGAAACGATTGTTCCTCTAACCTCATCTGTTCCTTGAAGGAATAATAATTTCTTATAGTATCTACCTTGTGAAATGCTGGGGTTCAACTAATAGTTACTCGTAATATCACAACGAGTTTTTGCTTCCAATGGATATCTATCAGTGAGTCAATGTTAAGTAGAGATTCAAGCTAAGAAAAAAATGCGTTCAAAAATAATAGACACGCAGTCATTTCGCAATAATAATTTGTTAGACATTAATTGAAAAACATTTTCGAAACAATTTGAGTATATGTTCTTCATCGGTTATCAGATAGATGAAACCAGCAAAAATTTCAAATGAAAAGGTTCTGAGTAATTTTTGGTATCGATGCTACAGCGTGAGGCAAGAACCGGCGTCGAACAGATGCATCCGACATTTGGGAGACGAGTTGAATAAAAGAGAAATCATAGCAGTGAAACTGTTTTTAAACGAAAACATCCATCAAATAAATATGTGGAAAAAACTAGTGGTTGCGATTGCTTGTCTGCTGTTACTGACTGTCAGCACGACGAGTGCCCAGAGCTTCTTGGAGTGGCTGACGCAGGGAAAGGAGACGTCGCGCGTGGCAACGGAAAGAAGCATCAAGTTCCGTGAGGGCGCGCGTCAGGCGATGCGCCTTCAGCAGATTCTACATCTGGAGAAGCTGGAACTGAGCTTGCAGTGCTCTGGTGGCCGCCTGGAGGAGGTCGAGGAGAGCGTCGACTGTCTCGAGAGAGATGGACTCTGCTGCTCAGAGAAGGATGCCGGTGTGCAGGTGACATGGTACCAGTTGCTTCCACCTGGTGACTACTACGCATGTGGCTACTGCTGGAGTGGTTCTGCTGTCTACAGGGTAGATGAAGGCAACCGCACTCCACCCAGTCTCACGACCAGAGTGCCTAACCCAACAATCAAGGCTCCCACTTCTAAGAAGAAGAAGAAGAAGGCGCTAGGGAGTTTTCTGATGGGACGATTAAACGATGCGTGGAAAGCAGCACCCTGGACTTCATCAGATCACAAATGGCGGCACCATTCTCAATACTTTCAGCCATGATTATGAAAAATATCAATGATTAGGACTTCCATCACAATTCGTTTAATTTAAAAAATACTGTAAAATAGTGGTAGTTTGGTTCGCCTTTTAAATGACCTACTGGATTGGTCCATCGTTCCCTTGGTACCGAAAATCTGCAAATCATAGACTCATCTCGTACTGCGAGCGTTGTGCATCAATTATGTAGGACGATGCCAACTAACTACAGTTTTGCAAGAACATCTACCCCTTTCGTAGAAAAATACGCGAGAAATCTCTAATGACACAATTTGCACACTGAGGTACGTCGGAAATGCTGTAGGGGTAGAATGTGAGTAGGTGACAAGGTGTTCCCACAGTGGCGAGAAGTCGCCGATTCATGCCGAAGTTCGGGGCTCGCAACTGAAAATGGTTTAGGGCTGAAATAGTTGGCTTAAACTGTATACAAAATATAATGTTAAGAACCTTTTACATTACGTCTTAATAAAAACTTTTAGGCATGTTTCGTCTATAATCCCTAATAATAAAGTAAATGTCAACTTGAGATACCGGACAATGAATGAGTGCTATGTACGGTAATAATAATGTACCCGAATTAAAGTACTGAATATTGTGCTCTGAATTTACTCTAAAATTTCGTTGCCTTAAGCATAAAAATAACACTATGTATTCAATCGTTCTCGGAAAAAAATCGCTAAACATAATTCTTTGTCTCTAAACCTTTTGGCTTGAATTTTACCATTCCCACAAAACAGTTTTTCATAACCAAAATGACATTTCATTGTGAGTTTATGAACGGTGCTAGATTGATTATTATTTTTTGCGCTATTTTGACAGGCCTGTACATGTTTGAAATAGTAATAAAGAATTGCATTCCTTTTCCCTTATCCAAGATTCGTTACTTGCCTCTGTTTTGATGTTCGGTGGTGATAGCAATGTAATTTCCTGTTTAATCAGCAAGTGCTGTGTTATGTTTACCTACCTATTTTGTATATGAATAGTTAATTTTTTTAATTATTCATGATCCGATTATAGGGTCAACTTATCTTTAGTCGAAAAGTTCATCATGAATTTTCAAAGTCCAAACTCCAAACAGATACAGTATTCTGATATCGATACTGTTACAATACGCTACAGTATTCTGTAATACTAATTTACTATTACAATTACAATTCGCCATTAGATTTTTATTTCGTTGGTAAAAATGTGATTTCCATTCACCTGACTAGTCTACTGTGACTGTGTCATACTATCAAGAAGTTGAGTATAGTATAATAGCTATTATGGTTAGACTTGGTAAATAGTAAGTGGCATAGTTTTGTCAACAGTGAATAACAGGCCAAGCCTGGCCTGTGCTGGGAATGCATATTTATTACCTACCTAGGCTGTATGTTTATTACCTATGCTAGAGGCAGGAGGCTAGCTTTTGCTCGATAGTATGCTGATCAGCTGATGACACAAAAATTTATAATACAGTGGAGAATACGTTGCAAAAAGTACAGTTGCAAGGTGATCTTAACAGGCTGGTTGACTGGGCTGATAAGTGGCAGCTGCGGTTTAATGCTGACAAATGTAAAGTTATCCACCTTGGCAAGAATAATGAACAGCAAGATGACAGTATGAGAAGACATGGTTGCAAAGTGCAACGACAGAGTGATGATGTCAAAGTCGACAACGGAAAAGGATTTAGGACTAGGAGTTAATATCGACAATGAGTTGAAATTTTCTAAGCATATTGAAGGTCAAGTTAATAAAGCCAATAAACAACTTGGACTGATCAGACGCTCTTTCAAGTTCCTAGATACAGAAACGATGAAGCAGTTGTTTGTTGTTGTCGTGACTCGTGCGCCCAAACCTAGAGCTTGGAAATGTTGTATGGTTGCCGAAATTTGAAAAGGACAGAAATTTAGCAGAGACTGTTCAAAGACGCGCAACAAGGATAGTTCCGGGCATAGTGGCAAAGCAGAGAGTTTTTTAGACTCTCCCTCAAGTTCACTTGTGAGTCTTATAAAAAGACCAGTAAAGTATCCTGGATACCAGCAGTATCATACAAATACATTGCCATACAACATACATAAGAAATTGATTTAAATCTTGGGTAAATGCGGAAATTAAAAATGAACTGATTCTAAAAAATCTGTGGTTTGCCACTATGGTTCCGGGCTTGAAAGGCAAGTCCTATGAGGAAAGATTAAAGATTATGAAGCTTCCAAGCCTCAGGTATCAACGTCTGCATGTATACTCATGGCTAATACAAGGTGCCAGAAGGATTACTAGAATTTGAAACAAGAACCAACATCAGGGGCCATGGCTATAAAAAAAACAGCGTTGGAACACATTCATGCGACAACATTTCTTCTTGCTTCGAGTCACCGACATGTGGAACAGCCTCCCTGATAGCATCGTTGACGCTCCGAGTATGAACATCTTCAAAAATCCTGGAAATTTAAAAACTGGTCTTTTGATCAGATCTATCCAAAACTAATATAAATGCTGAAATGCATAGGTAATAAATATGCATTTAAAAATTCCTTTTTAAAGGTGACGCTGCCAAAGAATCCAGTGTGTCCAATGTTACACCTGTACTATGAATTTATAATTCTATTTTCAAATATTAGAAAAAATTAGTTTTAAATTTTTGTTAATATATATAAAAAAATTTAATGTTAAAAATTATTTATTTTGCCAATTGATTCACCCATTGTTTCTGACTTTATGCAAGTGTGCAAGTTTTCAGATCAATTGGACAGGTCACAGGTAGAAGTGTGTTAAATACAGATTATAAGATTTTTAGCAGACAAACAAACAAACAACAAGAAGTAAAGTTAAAAAAGAAGTGTTGTAAAAATTATAATGTCAAAAATAGGCTACTTTTTTAGATCCTTTTTTTTAAATTCCTATGAATATGAAACTATGAATGGACCAGTAAAGTCTGAAGACTAAATTAAAGCATCATGGGTGGGTGATGGAAACCACTCAAACCAGCATTGATTAAAATTTTGAAGTAGATTGGAAAATTAGAAATAGACTTAGAAATTGGAAAAATTTTGTTGGTTGTCACGCAGTCACTATGGTTGAGACATATGTAATAAATGATTCACCTTTATAATAAAAGAGTTAATTTATTACTTTCAATTTTTAAAACCTGAAAATCCAGCAGAAGCCAGTAGTGCCCAGCACTTCCCAGTTCCTAGTAGCCACCCATGAATGATGAATAAGACCAAAAATGCCCAAATATTGCTGACACGTTCACAGTTTCTATAGTTGAATCCTAGTTGCTTCTGTAAAAAATATGAATCAAATGAGCACATTTTCCTGCACTTTTTGAAAAAATCTGCTTAATGATTGTTTTCTCTCCATATTTTTTTTTCAATTTTTACACATTATCTAAGATTGGCTTTGGATTACTGTTATGAACATCAAATGAGATATTGAGGCTATCAGGCTAATTTGAGATGATTTCAAAAATTTAGATTTGCTTTGGTTGTAAATTTTCACTCCATATTTTTTGTGATAATGTAATGGCCAGTCTGACACAAGCATGGAAAACTTCTACCATTAGGGCCGCAATTAGAGCTTTCCCGCCATTTCCGGAACCGTGAAATTTCTGCCAGATGAATTAACTCCATCTAATTGTTAACAAAAGTGCAGGATTGGGCCACAAGTTTCCAAATGTATTGAAAAATTTGTACAGTTGGAGCCGTCTGATTTCAGGAACAAGTAGGAAAATTCCAATCCTGGACTCTGACTTCTGACAAAAAATGGATAAATACTAAAAACAAACTATATTTCAAGAAGTTCACAGTAATTGGTTGAACTTGAATATACAGTGGGGGGAAATAAATATTCGTACACTTGAAAAATCGTATTTTAATGTATGTAAGTACACAAACTTAACAGGAAAAGTGATTTAATGGATTACTGTTATGAACATCAAATGAGATATTGAGGCTATCAGGCTAATTTGAGATGATCTCAAAAATTTAGATTTGCTTTGGCTGTAAATTTTCATTCCATATTTTTTGTGATAATGTAACGGCCAGTCTGACACAAGCATGGATAACCTCTACCATTAGGACCGCAATTAGAGCTTTCCTGCCATTTCTGGAACCATGAAATTTCTGCCAGATGAATTAACTCCCATCTAATTGTTAACAAAAGTGCAGGATTGGGCCATGAGTTTCCAAATGTAGGTATTGAAAAATTTGTCCAGTTGGAGCTGCCAGATTTCAGGAACAAGTAGGAAAATTCCAATCCTGGACTCTTACTTCTGACAAAAAATGGATAAATACTAAAAACAAACTATGTTTCAAGAAGTTCACAGTAATTCGTTGAACTTGAATATATATGTAAATAAAAAGTCTACTGTAACTGTTCTTTGATGACTGTGTCAGTGTTACAGGAATATTCTCATTCCAAATCCAAATTGATACATTTCTATACCTACATTTCTATCACACACTCTCATGTTTCCAAACATATCTCCATACGCACTGGCTTAGAATATAATAGCAGCTCCAATGCAATACCATTGCCTTGAAAAATTTGGAGCTGCCACTAGAGCTTGACAGTCATTTTCAGTGCCACCAGATTCCTCCTAGATGAATTATCTCCTATCTAATTATTAATAAACTACCTACCTATATGATTGTCTCCCAAGTTTCCAAATGCATATGAAATTGGTCACTTAGGACCAGCAAGATTTCATTCACCAGCATTTTCATTCATTTCATTCATTATCCTACATTTCCATAGGAATGTAGGAAAATTCCAATCTAACACAGACAGCAGTTACCATTTTAACCATTGTGTACGGTACATAATATATATTTAATCCCAGTGCAGGGCTGCAAAGCAACAGCTACTGCTAGCATTTCTCATTGGAAACCTTATGCATTTGGCTTGCTTACCAGTACAGCAGTACTCCTGCTTACCTATGCTAGTTGAATCCAACATTCTATTTGCTGCACTTGTGAAAATTATTAATACCTATACTAATGATTTTTGCAGAGCTACAAATGTTTTGATTATAATATGGACCCCATGTTTCTGAATCAGCTGGGCATGCAGCCTCCATCTGCTAACTTAGCTCTGGGTCCTGCAAATGTACCCACCACTCTGGCCCATCTAAATGGCCTGCCTCAGGAGTCTAAGCTTGCTTCTTACATCAGTGTGAGTCAAGATCCATGTTGAAGATAGTATTCAAAGCTTACATTCATCTCATGTCATGCCATGAAGCTAGTAAATTTTTCCTGTACAGTTCCAGCTACAAAAAAAGCATGGTGTGCATGTTGTGGTATGGCATTAATTTTTTTATAACTACCCAGGGTTACATACATCATCTTCAACTTCATGCAGCCAAATCAAATGAAATTTATAATCTCTTTATGTTAAGAATACTTTTGATGAGAATCATATTGATTTCATGCCCTAAAATGTATGAATATATATCACCTATTTTCCTTATTTCAAGAATGTCGTTGTGAACAAAATTTTCTAAATTTTTCAGTGAACATATTTTTCCTCCTAAATCTGTTTAATAGTGGCAGACTTTCTGAGCAGAACCGTCAACAGTCATCAATCCTGAACTCAGTGTTGCCACAGTCTGCTGCCTCCATCACCAAGACTCTTGCTGCCTTGAGTCTTGACAATGCCACCAGAAAGGTCAGTTGCAGTTATCTTGCTTGTCATGTCAAACGGGCAGTACATTTTGGAATAATGTACTTTTACATATCTTACATGATTAACATGATTATAGGGTTTCAATGAAGAAACGGGGAAAATATCACGTGACATGAAATTATTTTACACTAATAATTAAAATTATTCATTTTTTTACACAAAAAAGATTGGTATATTAAAATAAAGAATATTATCAGCATCTCTTCATTGAATGCAAGTGGTCTTCTGTACAAGACTGAGAAGTACCGGTATTATTTGTTCCTAAATGTAAATGAGAATTATAAAGAGATGAATTTGCTTCCCTGAATTTGTGGTTAAATTCTCAATCAACAATATGCTGCTTTGAGTTTTTGAACTAGGTTCAATTTACAAAATTTGTCTTGTATATGAGTTTCATTCAGTTTGTTATTATTTTTATCCAAGTTTTACCTTGATGTTAGATTACTTTATGCATTTAATTCTATTATAAACTTATTTAATTTTGTGTTTCCCAAATAAGATTTGTTTCAAGAATCCTTTAATGTTAATCAGACTCAACTAAAGGTCAATTAATTTTCTTGGCCTATTAACTAATAACAAATGAAACAAATACTTGAAAATTTAAAATAGACAGCATTTCTGTACAATAATTATTTTTTCACACATACAGGCTCAATCAGGTGCCAGCGACTTCCTGCCTGCCGTGTCTCTTGGCCTTGGCTCCTCTGGTCTAGCACACTCTTCCTCCTCACCTTCCTTCCACAGTTTCAGCTCCACCACCAGCCACCTCAACTCCGCCTTCTCAGGGGCGGCTGGTCTCGCCTCAAACTCCAACACAAACAACAACCCACTTGCTCCCCACAACTTCCCTGCCCTTGCCACTCCCAGCTATGCCAACCCCTCCCTCAACACCCCACTGCCTCCCACCACCTTACATTACTCGGCCGCCCTCAACCCCAGCCATTATATTATTGTAACGATTTTTAATTTGATTTTTGCAATAATTATCTAGCTATAATCATTCAATTTCTTTTGAAAGTAAATATGGCTTGTATTTTTATAAGCCAATGTAAACACAGTGTTTATTTAAATCTTGCTATGACTGAATTTATAATATCTTCTTGAAAACAAATAAACTTCCATTTTTAACTAGTGAACTTCTTTTCAAGCCTTTTGTAAACATTCTTTGTGGAGAAAGATTTTTTGGGTGAGCACGCCAAAATGGCATTGATAAATTGTAAAACTGTCACATTACAATATATGCTCCCTAGTTTCAATAAACAATTTCTTCAGTAGTTCTAATAATTTTGAAGACTCGGTCGTCATCTGAAAAATTCTGGCAACTGTAATGAACTGCTTAATTACAGGAACACATCGGCGGGACAACATATTTCTACACAGCACAAGAGATGGCTGCGATGGCAGCGAGCACAGGTGGCAGCAGCAACGGCGGTGGCACGCTAGCAACTGTGGGTGGCGGCGGCAGCATATCCTCTTCATCAGTGCTCAGCAACGGCGGCGTTACTGGCACCGGCAGCAAGTGCCTTCCCAGCAGCAGCAGTGGCACCGACCACCACCTGCTGGCGCTGTCCCCCTACAGTATGGCGCCCCCAACGCCCGCGCACATCCACCACCTGCGCACGCACACCGCCGCCCCTCACTTCTTCCTCCATGACGAACTGCGCCGGCAGCTGCTAGAGCGCCAGACGCTCGCCATGGCGCAGCTGCCGCCATATGTTACGTCTGTCTGTTAGAAACCATCTGATGTTCCCAGTACAACTTGAAATAAAGTTTGGCTCACACTCCTATGATCTAGTGGTACTAGTCGATAATTCTTAGTTTGATATCATTTTCCCAGGGCAGCGAGAACAATGGACACTGATATATTGTTTGTTGCAGGCGACTCACTGCAAGAGCGGCATCCAGTATTGTCTGTACCGCATCCACAGCTACCGCCTCAATAACGTCAAAGTAACGCAGATCGTCGACATGTGGAAGAAGCTCCAGCATTCCGGCCTTGTACAACTTAGGGAGGTTTTTACCACTAAAGTCTTCGGTGACAACTGTGAGTCTTGATTACTTGTCAGTCTTCATAGGACGGTCTTCACCATTAAAATCTTTGGGTTGAACTGCAAGTCTCGATTATTTCTCCATTTCTATAGTCTTACAATAAGTCATGGTGGCATTAAAGGTCTTTCTCTCAAATATAAGAAGGTAGCATTGCAGGGTTTTGTCTGACTAAAAGCAACTTATTCCTAGATATGTAACATGATGACGTCATTGATGCCTCGAGCTTTTCCGATGGATAATTAACGACAGCAATTCATGTCGAGGCTAGTAGCAGAAAATTGTTGGTGGGGGTCGGCATTTTAAGGTTGTAATGAATAAATTTTCTAAAGCTCCTGGGAGCGGCATGCATGGGACGAGCATGGGAAGGGTCAGTGAGTCTGGATAATAATCTCTTGCTTGTTGTGTTTAAGACTTGGGAATTATTGTAGTCAATTTGCCATGAGTGGTATGTACGCTCTGACATTCATGAAACCATCATATCAAGGCAGCGAAATTCTGCGTCCATGAAAAAGATAGATGCAGGCTGTGAAGTTGGGGTTGGTCTTAACCGCGCACGCGTAAACAGCTGCTCATGACTAATGTTAGGTCGGCCAGACAGCACACACATATCCGAATTATACATACCGTATTCTGCGTGTTCTGCTAATTACCTAGTACATAGTTAATATTACGGCTTTACTAAACCTTCTCTCTTATAATTTACTTAATTTTTTCATGATGATCGGATAAGTAGGAATTAACTAAGCACAGTGATATGACCTACGAAATTTTGCCAGGGCTTTGCAAGTTACATTCAGAGAAATTTGCGAGTCATTTCGTCTAAATAGTCCAAACTGGGTCGGGATGACCCATGTAGGGGCAAGAAGTGCATGGCTGCTTGTGTGAAGTGTGCTGGGTAAACAGTCCAGCTGCTGGTTGACTATAACATGTGTGTGCAGCCATGATCTTCGTGCTGGACTATAGTGTGCTGGTACACAGTCCAGCTGCTGGTTGACTATGGCATGTGTGTGCAGCGATGATCTTCGTGCTGGACTATAGTGTGCTGGTACACAGTCCAGCTGCTGGTTGACTATAACATGTGTGTGCAGCGATGATCTTCGTGCTGGACTATAGTGTGCTGGTACACAGTCCAGCTGCTGGTTGACTATGGCATGTGTGTGCAGCGATGATCTTCGTGCTGGACTATCACCCCGGGGCGGAGACACTAGCCTCGCGCTTCAGCAGCAACGCGCCCCTGCAGCCAGGCTGGGAGGGGGCGATGCTGCCCCCGCCCTCCCTCAACTACACCACCGAGACCGCGCAGCAGGCGCTCGTCGCAGCCGCCGGCGCAGGTTGAGAATTATCCTTACTTATCATCTATATTTTGTGAAATTCGTTTAATAGTCACAAAACATTTCCCGGAACTCTCAGATCTAATTAATTACGATACTTAAGCACGTTTTTCATGAGGAGCCGTGCTTGACATCTCAAATGTACGTTTATTTGAACGATTTTGCCTTCGGAGATAATTTATCAATCTACATGCGCTTGTCATTAAGAGCCTTCATTGAAGCTCTCAAATATAATGCATCGCGATTTATAAACGCACATTTCATGAAATAAACTGATTGGAACTCTGAAACTTCGTCAAATGCGATGATACGCAGTTCATAGTGGATCATTTCAAGAGCTCTCAAAAGTATATTTACTTGAATGATATGGTTTTTAGAAATTATTTCTAAATTTTAGGTTCAGTATTTTCGGCCCCTTGAATTTATAACTATTTGGAACTTAGTATTACCAGGCATGAGGCCGAGTATTTTCTGCTCAAGACTAGAATGATTATGGGCAAACCTTCTTCAATTAATACTAAGAGAAACGTTGCTGCCCACAACATCACAGAGCGTTCTGATGCTCCGCTTTTGAGCAAGTTAAGTGGTACCGTACTATTCTTCTATTATCACACATACTTTTTAATTATTTTACAAGTTGTTGCTCCCATTGTATCAGTTAATTTGTCGTAGTGCCCAGCATGGAACCCAGAGTGAAATTCTCGGAGGTGGAGCCAAATATTTATTTTGTCTCGATGTTTGAATATTTCCATGTTGGAACAGAAGTGCCAGGTAGATAGTACAATGGTAGCCTTTGTTATTGAGGCAGCAAAACATTACTGAGCAATGACAGCGTCATGTAGCTCTGAAAAGAAAGAGAGAGTAAAGCTTTCGTTTGCTCTCCATGCGTTGCATCGCACCAATTTTTTCCACACGAGAATGAGACATTGATAAGATTGTTATGGTCGCACTAATTTTTCTACACGGGTATTGTGACATTGATAAGATTGTTATGGTTGCACTACTTTTTTCTACACGGGCAATAAGACATTGTTAAGATCTTATGCTGTGGAGTACGTAATTATTTTTCTATTTATAAACGAGGTAAAATCTTCCTAGCTACTAGTTTTTCTATTCTCCATCTTAGGTTTCAAACCACCAATATCTGCTACTACTGTTCATCTAATGCATGTGACATCAACAATATCTTCTGATCCTTCAGGTCTTATTGAAATCCTTTAATGTTAGAGGGCTGATGTTTTATTATTTTTGAAGGTATGAAAGGACTAACGGCATCAGTATTCGAGCAGGACGTGAGATGGTGAGTGAAGCAGTTCTCTGGAGTTTTATCATCCAACTCACGGGAGCCGTGAGGGTGATCCACAATGGGGGCCTCGCCTGCCGTATGTTGGACCCTTCAAAGGTGAGCGCCTTAAACCAATGCTATCTTCAGTTATAGTCTATAAATCATATTTATTATAAAGGATTTTGAAAATCAGCTGATTACTATGATACATGAATTGAATGACAAGAATACAAATTGATCAATGAACATAGTTCCTAGAACTATGTTTGTCAACTTTATTACACTCCCAAAAAGTTCTATGTTTGTCAACACTAACAAAAAGTGATCCTTTATAATCAGAGCTCATCACTGTTCCTCATCATCTAACAGCATCATGTTCTTTGTATCTTCTGATAGTAGATAGAAACTTGAACGACTCTAGAAGTCAAATTTTGTGCCACTCAACAGAGCTCAACATTATTTGCTTGTTTCTTGAAGCACTTGCAGGCTGTCATCTGTCGAAGCTGAAAAATATCTGTTATTGTCCCGGATTTGGACAAAATAAAAGTGGTGAAAATTATGCAAGGGTTTTGTGTTAGTCTTGCTTCAAAATTGTTCTCTATTAGCTTTCAAGCTTCCTGTGTTTTTTGCGAGCTTTAACTTGCAACTTTTTTTTATCATCTGAATTGTTTGACTTAGATTATTTCTGTCTTGAAGAAAATCTCTAAGTACTTTCTATATTTTATTCATGGGTTGTGCGTATTTTGCTATATTTATGGCAAAATGATGTGATTTACTCTGATATGTTTCTGACAAAATGATGTATGTGATTTACTCAAATGTGTCTGTATTTCAGGTTCTTCTCACCGACAACTATAACAGAATTCGGATCAATGGCTGATGTCACCTGTCCCTCCTTGTCATTTGTCCCTCCTTGTCACCTGTCCCTCCTTGTCACTTCGTCTCTTTGAGATGCTAACGCAGCTTCTTTCGAGCCAGCTTCAGCGGGCTGGACATCTGAGACTTCCGCCCCTTGTGGGTGATGAATAATTGAGACCTTCCACTTCCACCTTTATGGAGATGTTCATCTTGACTTTCGGTGCAAGATAGCTAAATAGCTGAAGCGCTAGTGAACATTTGGCCACTAAACTAACTAACTTGCACGCTGTCATCTTTCGAAGCAGAAAAATATCTGTTATTGTCCCTGTGTTGGACAAAATCAATGTGATGAAAGTTTCGCAAGGGTTCTGTGTTAGTCTTGCTTCCAAATTTTTCACTATTGGCTCCCAAGCTTCGTGTATAATTTATGAGCTTTGAGTCGCAATTTTTTTTATCGTCCGAATCGTTTGACTTAGATTATCTCTTTCGTGAAGAAAATCGTAAGTACTTTCTATATTTTCTTTGTGAGTTGTGCGTATTTTGTTATATTTATGGCAAAATAATGTGATTTAATCTAATGTTTCTTTATTCCAGGTTCTTCTTACCGACAACTATAACAGAATTCGGATCAATGGCTGCGGCATCCTAGACATCCTCAACTTTGATGCCAATTCAGCAAACCCTCTTTCTGCCGTCCCTCATAATCAGGTATGGCAGGACTGCTCTCCCTCCCATCTGATCAGCAGTCTCTCATAATCGGGCTCTGTTGTCCTCATAATCGTGACTTCCATTTATGAAAGAAACTGCCGTCTCTACTAATCAGGTTCTGCTGTCCTTCTAATCGGGTACTACAGGTCTACTGTCCCTCCTATATTAATCTAATAGAGCAGTCCCTTATTGCCACACCTCAATGTCTTGCAGTCCTATTTCATATACCAGGCGAGTGCTAAGTAGAGACCATGAGACCAAGTGAGCTGGATATTATGCCTCAGGAAGGCCTTATGCTCCCGGCATTTATTGCGTTAAGGATGAACTGAGTTGATTTGTGTTAGCCTTCTGAAAGACCTTGTGACCAGACAAATTTGGTGCTATAGATCAATTAAATTTTGTTGTGCAGCAAGAAGACCTGGTGCAGCTGGGCAAACTCATCATGGGCGTTGCGGTGCGTGCGTGCATGCCAGGCTGTGGGCTGTCCAGAGATAAGATCCAGTCAACGCTGGAGCTTGTCCAGCGCACCTACTCCAGAGATCTGTCCATGCTCATCCTGTGCCTCATCACGCCGCTGCGCATTAAGAACATCAATGATGTCATGCCAATGATCGGTGCCAGGTATCTTCTGGCCCAGAACCTTTCTTGTCTTTTGTGGGATTTTGTCAGTTCGGCAGGAATGAAATAGCTAAGAAATTGCCAAGGAAATTTACAATATCTTCAATGAGAACTTTGCCATTGAAGATATGATGAATTTACTTGGCGTTTTCTTTGCTTTCAAATTCTTGGCGAACTTGCGATTTAAGAAGACTAATGATATAAATACTAATGTTAGTTCAGATGTTATGGCTTACTGGAGACCAAGCCTGAAAACCTAGTTGATAATCGTATGAGCTGTTGACTAATTGTTTTCCTAATAAACTGGTGACTAAGCCCGCGGTGTGCAGGTTTTACACCGCCGTGGAGTGCGCCACACAGCGAGCTGACATGTACGAGAGCGAGCTCGCCAAGGAGCTCCACAACGGCCGTCTCTTCCGTCTCATTACGAAGCTTTCAGCCATCGTGGACAGACCTCAGTGAGTTCGCGGATGCCTCTTTTATCTTAGCTTTTTCCAGTCTAGATCCTAATTATATAGTACTACTTATTGGTCATTTATCAATTGTTCGGGGAGTACCACATGGTTTATTGTATACCAGTACAGAAGTGTAATATTGCTTCTCAATAAGCCTATTTATTCTATAATTTATGGATAACATGGCTATGGTGTCATGTTGAACTCGAGAGCATGCCGAGCAAATTTTAAGGCACTGAGCGAGCACAATGTAACTCTTATTCTCCGTAGGCTTGTTTCATACAAGATCGTCAACATTACTGAGAAAGCTCATCAATGTTAGTCATGAGTAAAGAGTCGAAGTAGAATTGATAATAAACATAGAATGAAATGGTAGACTAGAAAGAACTAGATTGAACAATTATTGTGGACTAATGCTGGTGAAAAGTGTGCTTGCCAGACCTGATGCTCGCTTACCCCATGGTCCTTTAACTGCGTTGCATTCAAAATGACCTGCATGGACATTATCACCTAAGCCATAATTATTAAAATATTAAGGGGGACATGTTCTTACCAAATAGTCTTCAATATTTTTGTCTTACTATATTATTTTTTTTACTTGAGTCGGAAACCTGGCATGGAAAGCTTTATTTGTATTCTGCAATATGGCAATGATTTTTCTATTGCCGTCATTTATATCATCATTCTTACAGCCACATTGATTATAATTTGTTAATATTACACCAAAAATCCTGCAAACAAACCAGATGAATGCAAAACAGTAAGCAGCATGCCATGTAATTTCTTGCGTTACCCATCGAATTGACTCGTCATAATCATTGCAGCGTGAATAACGACAGCAACTGGTGTGAGACTGGCGACCGGTACATGCTGAAGCTTTTCAGGGACTACCTCTTCTACCAGGTGCTCTACTTTAATCCTTTTCTAATAAGTAAAGTAATTATGCATTTATTAATTTCCGCCCATTGTCACCCAAATGAAGGTAATCGAGCCAATATGTAACATATTTTAACTCGCATATTGCAAAATCCAGATCGCTTTTAATTATCAGTTTCTTTGTTAAATGTGTGATTTTCTTTGTTAATTAACGCATATCTGGAGTTTTTCTATGACTCTTGTGAAAAGTTATTTAAATTAATTCAATGTAATATTGGCACTCGATTCATGTCTTCCTCACCATTGCTGCAGACCCACGAAGACGGGCGACCGTGGCTTGATCTCGGCCACATGGTGTCGGTGCTCAACAAACTGGACTCCGGCTCTCCTGACCAGGTAATGGCAGCACTCTGGCTCTCCTGACCAGGTAATGGCAGCACTCTGGCTCTCCTGACCAGGTAATGGCAGCACTCTGGCTCTCCTGACCAGGTAATGGCNAGGTTGCAATTGGTGTCTCGTGAATTGATCTTCTCGGTGTACAGATCACCTTGTGCTGTGCAATCAGTGCTTGTACCTCACACGATCCTATGGTCACCATCACCATTTGGTATGCACCATCCATCACCACTTCAAGTACCAGTTTTATGCCTTCAACTGCTCGGTCAAGCATCGCTGGGCTGTAAGAGGTTTGATGATAAGTCGATCTTTTATCGCTGCCATAATTATTACACTCGTAGCTTGCTTCTCACTGTGAATACTTTGATCGGCTAAAGGTGTAGTAAGACGGTGTGTGGCGCTCCCTAGTCCCCAAACGTTATCGTATGTCGTGGTGATCTTTTGTCGCGACTGCAACGTCGTCCTTTGCGGCGTTATAGTAACTTTGCGGCGTAACCCACCAGGCATGACTGTGAAATAACATTAATTAAACGTTGCTTTAACGAAATAAAATCGTTATCAACTTTGTTTCGACGTCATTTAGGAGGAAATGACCGTAAATGGTCTCGGCTTGTAGGCTGCAGATCATGACGAAAGTTTTTCACGCAACCACGCGGCGATGAGGGGCAAGCCCCGTCAGGAAGTTCTCTGCGTTGTCTTGAGTGAAATTCCTTCCCGTAATTTATAAAGGATTGTGGTTGCTTTATTGCCTTGCCTGTGCTCGGGTTTGTGTGGGACAAGTCTGCGCTGAGGTTCCGATTGCTCTATTTCGGACTCCAACGCGCTGCATGATTGATGGCTGAATTGATTAAAAAAATTATTATTGAATGCCAGCGGGACGTTGTACTTACTTCAAATTCTCGCACAAATTCTTCTCCTTGTTATTTCAATTAAATTTCTATCCCGCTCGTCGGTTATGATCATGTTTTTTCATATTTATCTTCGAAACTAAAATTATTCCAATTCTTAAATCCGTGACGCATCGCTTTGCTGCTATATAGTGCAACAAATTTATTCAGTTCTAAATTATTCAGTTAAATAATTACTTATTTTGATAAATTAGGAAAAAATAATTTATTTAGATAATTTTTTTCATGAAATTTGTCAAAGAAAGACAATGAAAGACTTGCACGAGCTCTGGGCCTGGAGCAGGAAAACGTGCACTGCGGCTTCCCAGCTGGGCTCATTAGGCTCATAATGAACCTCGTTGTTGAGCCTGCTGGGGGAGGCTGATATGGGTTCCTCATTACTGGGGGGAAAGGGTTGTTGATTTTGGCACCTAATCATTGGCGATTTTTGTAGTTAATCTGGCATCTGACATGTGACGCTTATAATCTATATTTTGCCGGTTCTCTCTCCTCTAATTTCCAAGTTGAATTCATTTTAAAGCTTTAATGCGACACATGGCGTCTTTTAATTCTCTCTGCCGTTAGAGTCCTTCAGCACAAATCCCCTACTCGTCATTTTAATCAGGTTCAACCTGGGCTCAATATCTATGGTATTTTATAAATTGACATTTAAGTTGATATTTGTGTTAGGTTGTCTTTAATTCATACATCGCACCTCAAACTAGAATTCGAATAAGATAAGTTATACGTGGTCGGGAGCCACGTGCCTCTTCGTGTATTTATTCGTTCTTGTTCGTATTCGTTGAAGAGTTGGTCCGCCATCTTTTGGGCACATTTTACTCGAGAATCTTTCCCTCAATTGCCGTAGTTGTTAATATCCTAGAAATTATTGAAGAAATTAATGATTACTATGAACTATCCCCTGTTGATAAGTGGACCTAAGTTTGGCCGTTATTGTGGCTAAGTAATGTTCTATTAATGTTGTAATATAATTCCTGTTTAAATGATGTACTTTTGAGAGCCGCTGAATGTATTTAGTGAAGTGTTAGGCGGGACGCCTGGGAAGCGTCCACTATCCCGGGTAATGTATCATAAAATAGTTGGTTATATAATAGATCTGTATATTTTGCCTGGGCATTCATCTGCTGTTGGGCAATCTGGGTTTAATGTTGGGCAGGAGTAATTGCTTCGTAAAAGCTCATCGCAAAACTACTTCACAGGAGCGCTTGGTAGACATGACTGGCAGTGGTGCTTTCTAATTGCTTAACAAAACTACTTTGTTAAAGCGCCGCAGACTCCATATGTTGCCGTGTCCTTCAGGCTGTCTTCTAATGATATAAAACCTCCCTTGTTCGGCGAAAAAGGCCGCCAGTAGGCGCTAGAGAATTTATTATACAAAATACTGAGTGAAATAGTCCCATTAAAGACGTGGCGTTTGCGGGCGGCGCGAACAAGTCTGTACAGTTAGCGGCTTAGACGCTTCGTTGATCCTATGGATCGCCTAGAGCAGAAACTTGAGGCTTGCCTATGGTAATGAACTCGTCTTCATGTTCATTATCATTCTTTATTCAGCCTTTGCTCTCATTCTCGTCCTCACTTAGCGTACATTATTTCTCCTCACGGCTCTATTATAGCGCAGTGTTTACGAGACAATCTCTTTCTCTTGCAGATTGCTTTTCTTACACTCGTAATTTTCTTCCCACTTGTGTTCACACATCGCGCTTTGATTCTATAAAGTGGCTGCTAGAGCAATTTTGTTGAATGTTTTCAACTCTCGCTTAGGTTTCTAATGAGTCTGGTCGGTTCCTTTGATATTTTTCGCCAACTGCAGTCGCTTACTGAAACAAACTTACGGCAATGCATTGTTAGTACCTGTAACTTACATTCATTGTTGCTACCTGTAACTTACATTACTCTGTAACTTACATTCAATGCTTGATACTCCCATGGTTAGTGAAGCAACTTTGTTTGCTAGCTCTTTAGTTTAGGACTGCTTAGCACTCCCACCGAATGCCGACTTGAGGCAGCAGAGGGGCTCCGTGCGCCTTGACTTTGCCCTCTGGCGTGAAGTGATCGCTGTGATGTGGAGCCCTCGAAGTCGTGGCCGTAGAACTGCTGTTCTTGTCGCTTTCATATAACAAGAGACAGTCTGCTGTCCACATTTAAAACTTCTTGTACACGGGGCCAGTAGTGGCGGCTATTACAACTGAAACAAATGCTAACTGCGACTGACTATCGTGCTATTAGCCTCGTGTAAAGGGTTACTGGGTCCTTCCATGGCCGGCAGCGCCCATAGACGAGGCCAGTAGCGCGGTAAATGTGACTGTTAGTATTTGAACGTTGCCCTGGCGGACAATAGTGCTATCGTGAACAAGCATTTCGAGCTTCGTGGACTCCGACTTTAGCTCGGCTTTCAAATTCGTTGAAAATTTTTGGTTTAGCGTCTTTTCAGCTTTGGTTAATTTTTGGATTATTTTATCTGCGATCAAACCAGGTGATGCCAAATAGCGCTGCGACAGTTGCAGTGGTGCTGTGAGGCCATGTAGCGCTGCGACAGTTGCAGTGGTGCTGTGAGGCCACATAGCACTGCGACAGTTGCAGTTGTAAGTAGTGGACAAAGTGGTGAGTTACGTTGATGCTGTACAAATTAGATGTCTCTGAGACGCCTTGTCCAGTTCCCTATTCCGTGTTTTGTAGTTCCAGTGTTAAGAGTTGTTGAGGAAAGATCATAATACCATCAGTGGTTCCGTAGGGAGCCATTTAAGTTACGTCTAGTTTTGCACATGATAACTGAAGAGTTGCAATTCTCGTGCAATTTTCGACTCTTGCTCCAAGTAAATACTCTTGAACGTAGGCTCCCAAACTCTATCGAGAGAGCAGGCTAGTCATTAAGATTGAACTGTGTTCTTATTCATTGATCTTTATTCGTAATTTTATTTTCAATAAGTCGTGTCCAGTTCCAACTTTGAGCGAGACCATGCACAGCTGTTACCAGCCTCGGGGTTAAGCTCTTGCTAAGAGTCCCGGTGGCTTTCGAGTTTCTCCAAAGCTAATTTAGGAAAAATTCTATGCTGCTTTCAATGAAATTTCTTGCATTTTTACACAGAATCGCCAGTTTTCCTTGGAAGAATAATATTCGGTTCTTACAAGTAAATTTTTCAGCTGAATTTAGTGGGTAGAAGCTCCGTGCACAGCGGTAGGCTCGGGCTGCGTGCGCCCGTGTTGATGTTAAGCCTGCTATATCGTGCGCCTGTGTCGGTCCGCTTGTTTACGTAGAAGTTCTACGACGGCTTCTGATTCCATCACAAGATTCGAGTACAAATTATGTTAAGCCTGAGTGAGATGTGTACACGTGTGTGCGTGTATGTGTTTATGTGTGTACGAGTCTGTGTGTGTCCATGTTTGAGTGTGTGTGTGACTGTGTGCATGTGTGTATTCGAGTGGTTTAGGATAGACGCGCTGATATTCCCCACTCTTCGTTTGGTCACTCGAGAGTTCCGCCTACAGAAATTATTTTCTTATTAGAAATTTTGTATTCGATTCTTTGACAACATAGCGAGTGTGAACTCCAGTGAGCGTAATTATATGAATCGCATTAAAATTGAGTTTATTAACGTAAAGCTTGCTGCACATATTGAAGGAATGAACCGTCAACTATTCCTGGTAGGTCGATTCTTTAATAATAATAATTCCTAATTTTGGCAGGATTATTCAATCGCTTCTTTGCTTTTTAGTTTATGAGATATCATACATAAATTGTGAATTAATAACGGACATAACTGTGATACCGTCCTTGAACTGGAAATGTATTTGCGAACGAGCTGCATGTGCATTGTGCACTATGCTAATCGTGTGATGCACTTTAATACTGCAAGATCAATTTAAACGTTAATTGTTCCAGTAAACTGGCATACTGACTTCAACTCTGATGCTGGTCTGACCTGACTGCGCCCTGTTCGCACGGTGCAACCTCCGGCAAAAATTCGGTTTCCTTCTGTGTAAAATTTCAAAGAATTTGGTGACGTCTCTAGGTTGCTTCCTACTGGGTGACGAGGGTAAATTTTTGGTCCGCAGCAACATTTGGTGTTGCACCAACACCAAGTGTTGCAGCATCACTACGTGTTTTTTTAACAAATTACATCCTCAGATACAAAATATTTCACTGCAATGTTTTAACAAGTTCGCAATATAAATTTGGATAAGTTTAGATGCTAAAAATCACCTCCATTCACTTTAAAATTCCCTGCCGTTCCTATTTTATTTAATAAGAAGTATGTTGTAAATTGCAAGATCTGTAACATAATTGCGCGGTGCTTCGGTTTCGCCTTGAAATAGATATTTTTTTCTGCCACGTCAATCTAAAATATTTTTCATTGTATGTTCTAATCTCTAACTGGATATTCATTAGCCTGCCAACCAGGTGTGTCGCCACTTTCCTCCTTGGCCAATGGCCGAGCAATTTCTTGGAACATCGTAAGTGTTGCTCGTTCCTTCCAATGTTCACGTATTGTAGCTACTCACACAATCGTTTTAACTACTCCATACATCATTAATCGTTTTCGTGTTATCGTAATTATTCAATCGTTATCGTAGTCATTTACTCGTCACCGAAAGAATTTATTCGTTACCGTGAACATGAAAAGTTTCTTGATACCAGCATTGGGAGACGGTCTCCCCGGCAGACAAGTCTGCTGGTGACCTGATCAGTCGTATCTTGTATCCAACAATAGGTAATTGATGGAAACAAATATCCTGCGAGACCCACATAAGGAACTAATGAAAGCAACGGGGTTGGTAAAATCTATTAGAAAACTGCAATCAGCATTATATCTGAATCTAACATGACATTTCAAGCATCCTGACAGGTGCAAAACACCTGAAATATTTTTCATAGCTAACTCACAAGGATCCTTAAAAGCAACAGGATAAAGACAACATAGTGCCATCACTCGCTTCAATAGTATCGCTGACCGCGTCCATGTCACTCGTCTCTTCTGCCGTATACAATGGCCGCTCTTGTGCCGTGTGTACCGTCGTGGCGTGTATAACAGGTCCCGATAGATTTTATTCCTTATTTAAATAACTATTCAATGTCTGTATTCACTTTCAACACATGTATGTCTACTTGTAGCTAACGGTTTCCATGTTTTCAATGTTGCCGACGCGAGCCAACGAGCGCCGCATTAAACTCAGATCCCTACTGATGTCTGTGGTGGTGGAAGCGGCTTGATGTAAACTGCAAAATGGTTAGCGGTGGAAGACTTAGATAATGTTTGGCGGGTGATAACGCCAGGCACTGATTAGTGTATGGAATTATGATGATGGCGGTCATTATGAAGTTACGATGGCTTCACTGACGATCTGCTGCCCAAAGACCCGCATCGATGTCTGGTGCGTCGGCCTCTGATCGTGTTCTCTTCTCTGGCCCAGCGAGACGGCGATGAGAATTCTGAGAACATTTGTTCGCGTATTCATATTGTTTAATACTCATTTGCTTCTATTTTCCTTATACACATTGTTCATTTACCGTCAATACAGTGATTGGGTATTTTGCAATGAATATTGATTTGAGGAAATCTCGTATTGGACACACATTTCAATGATTTTCTGAGACCAGATTCATGTGGACGCCGACGATTCGGTTATGTTGCTCGTGTTCATCTCCTGCTATAATATATACTACGAAGTCGAGCTACAGACTAAAGAATGTCGTAAATGCTATTTTTTGTAAGTAAGGAGACTAAGATATCACCAGTTCGCTATTTCCGCCGCGTCTCGAGAGGTACAAAGTAAAGCGTCCGTCCTATCGTGCAAATGTTCATAGCCTAAATTACGCTATCGGTAAAGGGTCTTAGGAGCGTGTTCAAGTCCGCTTGTGATCTGGGCTTTAAATTTAGTTGCTTAATATTCTTATTTTTATGTGTCGCTATATTTTAATGCGGTTCATGTTCTAATTTCTACTTCTGCCTTGAATTTATTGCCAGTTAATTGTGTTATGGATTGTTTATTGGTACAGTTTGCCCGCAATTGAACGCATAATTTTGTTTTTTTTTTTGCCTTGACTGTATTTTTGCTGCATTTCTTCGCTGAGGGTTTTGGTTGGGTTTGGTGCGCCTCGTGATGCAAGTTACGATCCATGATGTATAATATTTTTGTAACCGTGCGTAGCCATATCTTGTCGTAACCATGCCAAATATTCGTCCTCGTAATTGAGATGAAGTATTGGTTATTTTCAGTTCATCGTTGAATGATTGCTGATATTTATGGTGTTTGTTTCTCTGCCTCTCAATTGGTCATTTTCGAGCGACTTTTAATTTGATTTTGAATGCAGTTTCTGTTGCCGAACACAGTTATTTAAGCGAACAATTCGACTTAAAATTTGCCAATAAATTGCAAATTGTATCTCTCAATTAGGTTATATAGTAATATAATTTATTACCAGTGAAATATATTGTATTCATTCATTTGGTTAGAGTATTATTATGTCAGTTATTAGTTGTTCTGGTTATGCTAAAGGCACAGCGGGGGAGGGGGGAAGGTTGTGTTCTTCGCGGGTGTGAGAACCGCTCAGCTGAGACGCGACCTCGACCTCACCCAGTCTCATCCCCACTCCCTGACTCGCTCCAACTGTCTCATCCCCACTCCTCGACTCGCTCTAACTGTCTCATCCCCACTCCTCGACTCGCTCCAACTGTCTCATCCCCACTCCTCGACTCGCTCCAACTGTCTCATCCCCACTCCTCGACTCGCTCCAACTGTCTCATCCCCACTCCTCGACTCGCTCCAACTGTCTCATCCCCACTCCTCGACTCGCTCCAACTGTCTCATCCCCACTCCTCGACTCGCTCCAACTGTCTCATTCTCACTCCACGACTCGCTCCAACTGTCTCATCCCCACTCCACTATTCTTGTGAGCGCGTCATGCAGCTGAGATTGTTCCGCCCTGAGGTCATAATTTTCGTTGCTTGCTGCCTGTGAGTGTTGAGTTTCTTGCTGGTTCCCTGCCATCTTAAGAGCTCGGTTCGCGTGTTCACCGCTCTGCCAGACGCAAGAACCAGAGCCCTTGCTTCAGAACCGGTAGCCTATATGTCATGACTATTATAAATCCCGTTTTTCAACCTTTCTTATCTATTATTTAAAATGGTTACGGTATCAAAGTTACTATAATGTTAATAATTGAACTGTCGGTAACGAACAGGGTACGATAGCACACAATCAGTCATGATTTCCTTTGCTCTGTTAACAATCTGTATAATATTTTATTGTCTATCCTCATTAGATGGAATGACTGATAATGACTCAAATAATCTCAATCAACAATTACCTCCAATAATAACTATCACACGTAAGATTCGGTGAATGACCGGTATTGGTTACGAAAGTTTTTTTTTTCGATTTGTGTCCGCGGCTGCCAGTCCTGTCGCTCACGCTTGGTCAGATTTCTTCTGTGGGTGATGTTGCCAATATATAAGCTTAATGTTTACCAAAGTAAAATTTTATCTTCATTACTAAGTTTAAAACCTTGATTTGTGTTACAACGAACTATCAATTTGAGATTATCTTCATGAGAAATTCAGTCATTGAAGTTACTATATAATTGGCTAATTAATATGTAATATACAATTGGCTAATTAATATGCACTACATTTGATGCTATTTGATGCTGTGATGCACGAGGCAGATGAGTGTGTGATGAATGAGGCGGGTTAGCGTGTGCGTGTGATGCATGAGAACATGTGATGAATGAGACAGCTGAGCGTGTTGAAGAGAGTGTTCTTTACCGTGTCTCGTAAGTCTCGGCGCTCGAGACCTAATCGCCCTTAGGTTGATCGGTATGAATTACGTGGCTGTACATTGAACAATTATAAATTATATTCACTATATTTTTGTAGTCGGACCTTGTGTGTGTAATAAATGTCAATGTTGTAGGGATCTTTTATTAAGACGTGTGTTGGGGTCAAAATGTTATGGTTTGCCCGGCACCCATCATAGATGTTGAGGAGGCGTCGTTTCGCCACCGCAACATCTCTAATTTATTAGCTCGGAAAATTCCTATATGGCCTGTCCTTTCCAGGACGTATATTTTTTGTATAATATTCTTAAGTTTAAATAGAAGGCGAACAAAACAGCGTTTTATTATCCTTGTTTATCTTCCTATGATCTGTAGGCTCGCCTGTAGTGGAGCATCATCGCTCGTTCACTTCTCAATCAAAGAAATTATTATAAAGCTTTCGCAAAGTTCCTGGAAGGCTTGCCGCTGAGTTCGCTGCATCTTACTTTTTGGGAACGTCTCGTTTATGGATTTAGAACATTAGATATAAGATATATTTCTTTTAGTTGCGGTATTTAATAACCTTTCTTCCACTCCATCGATCAATGCCCTTTCATTCATTTGGGGTTTATTGGCCTTTCTTCAATTTTCTTGGTTTTATGGAGTTTCATTCATTTGCGGGGATCGATATCGTTTATTCAGTTTGCCTGTTGTAATAGCATTTTATGCAGGGTTTAACGGTCTTTCATTATTTTCCTAAAGTAACAGCCCTTCTTTCAGCTGCTGGGTAGAATGTATCTCCTCAGGATATGCTCCTGTCCGTCGCTTCTCAACAGCCTCCCTGAAGATATTGTTGACGCTCCGAGTATGAACGCGTTCAAGAACAGACTAGACAAGGCCATGCAGGAGCATATGTTTAGTCTTAAAATGCCTCGTACCCTACGGATCAACTGAAATCTAGAAGCGATTTTAAATCAACCGTCCGTTGAAAAGATTTGATCAAAAGGCCAGTCTAGCCAAGAAAAGTACAAGAATCGGCGACAGGCCTACTCTTCAATGCCGAAGATACTATACTATACAATCTATACTCTTGCACTGCTTTCAATTGTCAGCTTCTGCCTCCTGGCCACCCTATACCTCCAGACTCTTGGCGATCACCTAATTCGGATTCCCGGTGTGATTTATTTTTACTAAGACACTCGACTTCCGACTCCGAGCAAACTGAAGTAATGTATCAACATTGGATTTACAGCGACTTGTTTTGATGAGCTTGATTGGATTACAGGGAAATTGAAAACGACGTAGCCAAACAAAATAGTCGCGATCAAGCCCTGATTGCTGGGCTAATGATCATCTCATCAGACGTATCTGCAAAACGTAGAGAGTAAAAAACTACAAATCGTTTTAACTGGCCCATACTAAGCGATTTTCATTCTATCGCTAGTGAACTGAATGGTGATGAAAGATGAATTTTTAGACGAAACACGTGTTAAGTTCAATTGTCAAAATGAAATTATGTGAAATCAGTTTCGTAAAAAATCAAAGCTCTTTCAATTTGTTTAAGTTACGGCATTATTCAGGAGCGTTTTTATGCATCAAACGGCAGTTTAGAATTCGAAAGGAATCGTGTAACAGAATTAACGTTTTTTGTATCTAAATTGACACAATCAAATTCTGGCATTATCCAGCACCGATGCTTTGTCTGGTCTTCTAAATGAACCTTTTGCTGCATTGATCATTGCAAAATGTTTAGAATTTTAATTCTATATAGGTTCTTAGCCCAAAAGCTCTTTGATTTTTTGTGGTTTCCAGCCTGAATTTCTGCCCTCAACCAGGATTTGCTTGCAAAATTTCCTCGTGCAAGCCGCAGACAAACGGGATACTGACTTCAGAAGCTGCATTTGACATCAGCCGTGTTAATAAAAAAGAAAAAATATATTAACCTATTCAAAAATTTCAACATTTACTCAGTGCACGTTGCATATAATATAATTTACGACATACGAAAAAGGCAAATAATTGTCTTGTGTGAATTGAGCAAAACTTCGTAATAAACATTTAAACCATTTGTAAACATTCAATCGCCGTTTTAAAATTCACCTGCATGTCAATTCAGCGAGTTTATTACTTACATTTTCATACAAAACTCCAAGCAATTTTCTTGTGCTTGTGTGCGTACAAGATTGGCGTTATGACACATGAGTAATTGGAGTGGATCCGGTGGACGTTGGGAATAAGAGAAGCGGAAAGGATGATCACACTTTTTCGAGCTCATGTGATGGCTCTCCATGAGTACTGCTGTCAGCTGTGGATTCCGTTCACGGTGGGTGCAGTGCCTCCAGTTGGAATCGATCCAGCGAGCCTTCAGCTCTAGGATCAGCGGGAGTAGATCTCAAAACAACTGGCAGAGGCTGAGAACGGGAAAGGTATGTCATTCTGTATGCAAGGAAAATAATAAGACGGGCCTATAATTATGGAAGTGAGTTGTCCAGGATAGTGATACACCAGAGCGAGAGAAGGGGGAAACTGTGCGGGATTCTCCATAACGTAACAGAGCTGAGGCCAGAGTTCAATCACTGCAAGAAGGTTGTCATTCCACGGCAGGACTGAGGCTGTTTACCGACATGGCGTTAAACTGAAGGAACAGAAAAGGTGGAGTTCAATCTAAATCATTCACGTGACGACTGGTGATATTTTTAAGCGCAATACCAGGTCGTCTAAGTAAATTTCAATATCAATTGAAAGCTATAAATTTTGAATCTAATATAAATGTAACGGAAGTAACGGCTGTTCGAGCTCAATTGACGCCCGTCGAAGCCTGGTACAGACTGGCACCGAGGGTTTTTTTTTCGATGACACTGGAGGCGATCGCAATATCAACGGCCTGTAGACTAGACTAAGCAGGTTCTGCAGAAGATGACCGTTAAATATCTGGAAAACTTCACAACTTTTGGAATTTTTGGGGAGTCAGGTAGGAATCAGTTTTTACCTCAAGTGATCCTCTACTGAAAATTGTAATGGAAGAGAGACGAAGTATTTATTCGGCCCTAAGTCAGGAAAGGATTAATTGAACTCACCTTAATTGGATTTCCCTTAGAACAAAAAAGTTCATTGGCTCAAGGGACCGAAGTAACAAAAACTTCCCGTTAGTTCGAAGAAGTTGTGAAGGCAATGATGATTTTTTGTGGGGTTATGTCTGAATTTCGGCGTAGTAATTTTATGTACGATTTTCCTCCTGTAAGCCGAGGCCGATTGGTATAAGAAGGAAATAAGGATATCGTCCATCATGACATTACACAGAATACTGGAGAGGGCCAAGCTTAGGTGCCAACCGGAGCTAAAATTCAGGTGGTTTATACTTTTTCCCTGAACAATTTCTTTCTCGTCATATTTGAATCAGGTTATGCAAATGAATTTACAATATACGTCGTGAGAGTTTATTCACCACTCTTTTACCGGAAAGAACGGGGTTTCAGTATTATTTATAATCGCTATTAGTAGATTTTACTTTCAAGTTGTAATCGAATTACGTACCTTGGCTTGCTTGTTTTAATTGGCGAGTTGCTGTAATGAAATTGGCGGATAAACAAAAAGTAGAACCTTAACGAAGCTAGGTAGTATTTTTTAAATTTATAGAAATTCAATATTCGCCGATAGAATCAGTTTGTTGTTCTTTCGTGTAGACTGTAGATAGCTTAGGAGTAGGCTACTTAAACGCGTGGCAAAGATCGCTTATTGCAGGGATGGCGCTAGCTATGTAAGAAGCGTGGATTTGTTGGACCGCGATCACTCGTAACAATATAATACCTGAATCACATAGTCGATGAGTTTGCTGCCAAAAATTAGAAGATCAACATAAATTCACCGCCTGATTTAATTCAACCCAATGAGATTCGGTCTCAGATGGTTTGACATCATTAAACCATATTTTAAGTGAGACAAATTCACGAAACTATTTTTGAAATTTTAAATCTTCAAAAACTTGAACATCATCTCTGAGTGTATCATCAGCCACTAAACCTTAGCGGCTTAGCCGGTCTAGTGTCGATAGTCGATCTCTGAATAGTGATTGCCATCTCCTTTACCATAAAACGTGGAAAAACATTCGTACAACCAAGTCAAGAGGTTCATTTCCAAGCGAAACTAATTCTAATTGCCAATTATTAACCCTTTACTAGAGAAATTTCAAGAAATTGTTGACTCATGGTATTAAAAAAGTTGCCAAAACATCGTTCTGTGTTGTATTATGTAGTGTAATGCAAATACTTCATAGAAGGTACTGAGGCAAATATTTCACTTACTGGTCTCGTGAAGAGGAGATATCACCGTAAAATAGTACTTACCAGCTGGTCAACAGTACACTAATATTCATTTTTCTATGCAGCTTGCATTGTTTCTTATCCAAATTCAGTGAATAACCAGACGTCATGCACCGAGCGTTCATCCTGCTGGCGGTGGTGCACTTGCTGAGCGAAGTTTGCAGCGACGACGCGGGGCGGCAGGGCAATGCAGACAATTTAGAAGACTTGCCTGTTGAACTGGAACGTGAGTCATGAATGCATGAGAAATTTGTTTTCCCATTTAAATCATTTATGAGAAATTTTAACATAAATCAGTGTACAAACTGAACTCACTACATCACCATAATCGATGTCAGACACATCGTGAACGACAGAACGAATTATTCGTTCTGTTTACTATCAGTTTTTCTACTTTTTCTACTTTTTCTTTAATTGTGTGGTAACTCTGTGAATTATTTGCAAATATTTATCAATAATAAAAAAATATTGGAGATGAAAGAGAAAGCAAAGGAAACCAAGCATCGACCGCAAGAATTGTTGTAGTTTATAAGATTGATCTATGTTTCTAGCACAAGTTGGGCGACAAAATATTACAAAATATTAGTGTTTTGCTGTATTTCAGGGCTAAATAAAATAATAACTAATTCAAATTAGAGCAAGATGAATTTGGTTAATCAACTTTCTTGTCTACTGTAATGTCAGTCTCCATCTGAAATAAAGTTAACTAAATTGAATAAACAAGATAAACATTAGGCCTGGAAACCGTTGTAAGTTTCGGAAAATGATTAATCCGAAAGTAAGAAAGCTTCAGTCTTCTCAATTACACCACTCGCGCCGACTACTTAGTGGACGCAAACTTCTTTGCAAATAAATAATACCAATAATCAGAAATTCCTTCAAATACAGTGCAATATTAATCTTCCATTATCTAGTGATATATCATCAACTATCAGAACACAAATTTGTCAAACAGAAGCTATATTAACATATACAATTTTCTGAAGCTCCTAATTGTCCTTTCACAGCTTGGCGTTAAAATCATTACAGTGATCATGGCTGTTTTAATTATGCTTGTCATTTCATCTTTATTCGCTCGAAAGGATAGATTAATTTTGTTGTCATTCCGATAAAAATTTCCAGTCAATTTCGACCACTGCTGGAGTGCATGATTTTTCAAATTCAAGCTCTGTAATTTCGCTAGAAATTTTTTAAAATATAGAAAAGAACACTTCATTTCAGGTACGAATTTTGATTAAACCAGCCCATATTAATTCAACTTGGATTGTTATATATTCAACAAAATAGTGCATGGTTTCAGCGTTGAAGAAAAGGCCATGGGCTGACTTGACCTTGCAGAATTTTTACTCGTTTCTGATTCGCAACTTAAAGCGTAAATTTTCGCAATATTGAACACTACCCACCGCAAAATATCGAAATGGATTGATCTATTCGATTTCTCAAGGTATATTCGACTTATTGTAATGCCCAGGAACGAAGGCATGACTTTATTTCAGAAAACGTGACACGAAGGAAAAATACTAATCGTTCATACAGATATAAGTTTTCGAATTATAACATATAAATGTTCTTAAATACCTTACATTTCTTTCAATTTGTCCTCGTATCCAGATTACGGTGCTAAGGCGCGTCTTTTCCTGGGCACGTCTACCAACACGCGCGTGGTGACGCTCACGAGCTCGACGGTGGCGGTGTGCGTTACGGCCATCAGCGCCTCAACTTGCTCTGGCAGGAAGAGGCGAAGTGCCTTAAAAAATAAAATAAAGCGGTGAGAAATGGTGTCAAGCAATAACAGTGTTCATTATTTTTGTATTCATTTTGGACTTTGAATCTCTTGAATGAGGAAAAAAATGTCGTGCGATATTGAGATGTGTTTAATTTCGTTATAACATTTATGTGTGTACACTTATTTCATTACTTTATTAACGAAAAGGGGAAAACGACCAATTTTTTCCAAAACTTTTTCTAAAAATGAAACTCTGTCTACCTGGATGCTTTTAGTAAATCCAATTTATGTTTTCAGGCCTACAATTAATCGATACTTAGTTTCTAATCCCTGAGGCTAACTTGCACCTAGTTCCAAAATTACTTGATAGAGGAGAATAAAAACTTTCGAAGTAACGCAACAAAAGTGGGAAGAATTCTCATTTTAGGAAAATGTTATTTGTCAGCATTTTCGACTCTGCTATTCCGCGCCGGAACTCAATATATATATCAAAATGAAAAGGGCTACCTAACCTTAGTGGCTATGTCATGACCGTTGCGCAATATGAACTGTGTAATTTAGAGGCTTAGGGACGTAGGTTTGAGTCCATCGACTGCCATCTTATATTCCAATCTCAGGAACATCCCTAAAATAATGCCGCTTGATGGCACCCCTGACCTGGCACCTTCCTTGGCAACTCGTGGCTATGATGACGGCAAGAAAAGCGGCCGCATCTTGTTCTACCCTGCCACCATCTTCACTACTCTCACCTTCACTTCCTTTGTTGACATTGGAAGGACCGCCACCGTGTCTCTGGCATGTACTCCTTCTGGGCAGAACATCAATTTCTGTGGTTGAATTTAATACCGAGTTCCTGAGTAAATGTTTGTAACTCTTATGCTGACAACCGTTTCCATGAAGAATAGAATAGAATAGAATAGAATAGAATAGAATAGAATAGAATAGAATAGAATAGAATAGAATAGAATAGAATAGAATAGAATTGAAGTGTCGACACTGAAGAAATAGGCCCATGGCCTATGAAATTGAATAAATGTCTAAAAACTATATCAGTAAAGCAACAAAGAAAGGCTCGACGTGTGAAAAAATTCCCGAATAGTTATTAAATATATTTATGGAGTTAGTCGATTATGATGGCGAACAGAGACTTCCATCTGCGACCGATACTTTCGTGCTGCTCTCTGGGAACTCACGTACATCCTGCAATGGCAGAGTGAGGCGCTGGCATCCTTACGAGGCTGAAAATATCAAAAGTATCTTGTCTCCATTCCATATTCGGAAGGATACTATTAAAAAGAATAAGGTCACACATTTGTAGCACGAGTATACCTCAAAGAATTATCTATTCACTAAGCGAAAAATAATTTCATTCAAAATGCTTATACCGTGGACGAAAGATCGAATCTTGCTCACAAACGCAACTCAACATACCATAACATAGTGATCTCGGCGCTGAAGTGTAGGCCTGATGTGGCCTGTCGCCGATTCTATTTCTTTTCGTGCCTTGTTCACAGAAGATCTAAAATCGTGTCATTTGACAGGATCTTTTCATGACTGACGATAGTTTGGAGTAGCTGCTAGACTTCCACCGAGTTCGATAAGGTGCTAGGCATTTCAAATCTGAACATATATTTTTCCATAGCTTTATCTAGTCTGTTCTTGAACGCGTTCATACTTGGAGCGCCAACGATGTCATCGGGGAGGCTGTTCCACATGTCGGTGATTCGAAGCGAGAAGAAATTTTNTGCGCATGGCGCCACCTTCCTAGGACTAATGGCCGCCACGTGGCGCGCAATTCAAATAAGTAAGTTCCCGCGCCGCACCCTGACAAGGTCCCAGAAGGATTACTAGAATTTGAAAAAAGAACCAACACTAGGGGCCACTGCAATAAACTAAAAAAACTGTGTTGTAACACATCCATTCGGCAACATTTCTTCCCGCTTCGAGTCACCGACATGTGGAACAGCCTCCCTGATAGCATCGTTGACGCTCCGAGTATGAACGCATTCAAAAACAGACAGACGAAGCTATGCAGGAGCATATGTTCAGTATTGAAATGCCTAGCACCTTACGGACCAGACAACAAGTCCAGCAGCTATCTCGGCCAATCTTCAGTTATGAATAGATCGGGTTCCAAAGGCCGGATCCCTGTCTCTTATACACATCTAGATGTGTATAAGAGACAGCAAGAAGCCTATATGTACCCTCAGGTAGACCGCGAGTTAAAAAAGGTGTTTGCTGGAAACACCTTCAAAAGAAATGTGAATACGGGAAGAACGGTGAAGCATGCACAATCTCACACCCTAGAATGTGTTATAAATTCTTTGATTGTGGAAGCGGTCATCCCAGAGGGTGCAAAATAAGTAAGGATTGCCCCTTCTATCATCCTACGCTGTGCTGGAGTATCATGAACAGAGAGGTCTGCACGAGAGAAAACTGTCGTTTCCACCACATCAAATCAAGAAAACAAAGTGGAGAAAACGGCAATAGAGCGAGAAACAATGATATTCCTTCACAGCAAATGGCGATGCCCACCGCACAGCCCGCCCCTCGCGCTCAGGGAAGACAGAGCAAAGCTGAGAGAAACACCGTTGGAAGGAGCGGTGAGATACTAGGTGGAAATGAACGAAGTCAATGGAGAAGAGGAGACGACTTAGCTAATCCACTGAGTAGACGATGTGTACGGGGCAGAGAAGCACGTGAGGAGCAAGAGGTTACCCTCAGTGCTTTTTTAGACATGAAGGACCAAATGCAATATCAATTGGAAATGATGCAACTCCAGATAAAGGAGCTGCTGGATCAGGGACGCCTGGCAGATCGGTGTCGCTGCAGATAAGAACATCAAGAAGGGAAGAGTCTGTCATCCTGCTGGCCAATATCGAGGGGCTCTTCCCACGAAGAGCGCGCCATAAGATTGGCGTGCTGAGAGAGATGGCCGACGAGGGTGGGATCTTTATGATTGCACTAACGGAATCGCACCTAAGGAAGGTTATATTGGATGCAGAAATTGCAATGGAAGGATCCCTCGCAAGAAGCACGGTGGAAGTGAGATTGGAATCTGGAAACTCTGACGGATTTGTTGAACACGTGTTACGCCACATAAAAAAACTTGACCTCTGCAAAGCCATAGTCTATAGGGCGCCTGCTTGCCCATCGGAAAATTTTAGCAAAACTTTGGAGGAAATAGAAACCAAGGTGGCTGGACTGGGTGAACCAGCCCCCAGCCTGATAATGGGGGGAGACTTCAATCTCCCACGTATCCGATGGACAAGTCCGGGCGACGTAGAGGTTGGTGACCACGACAGAAGTCATGAAGCCAAACTAGTGAAGTTCGCTGCGGAACACTTGCTCAGTCAGCAGGTACGGTTGCCGACAAGGGAACGAAATATCCTAGGTCTATTCTTTACTGATAACGAAAGAATGGTGGTTGACGTTCGGGTTGAAGAAACCACACTGTCAGACCACCGACTGGTGAGGGTGGATACGACTATTGGAACTGATACCCAGCCCAGGGCCATACCCCAAACTGGACTGGCAGGACTCAACTTTCACCATAGAAGAACAAATTGGGAGGCAATATGGAATGAACTTGACGAAACTGACTGAAGAGAAGAGTTTCACGATATGAATGCAGAGGAAACTTACACAAAACTTTATGAGAAATTAGCACAGGCTTGTTTGCGTCATACCCCGAGAAAAACGGGACCCAAAGTCCGCAGCATTCCGGGAGACCGACGAATCCTTATGAGAAAACGCACGTTTGAATAAACAAATAGCTGAGTCCACTAGTGATCTGAGGAGACAGAGACTAGTAGATTTGCACAATGAAATTGAACTCAGGTTGCAGGAATCGCATAGGATAGAAGAACAAGCTGCCGAGGAACGAGTAGTGGAGGTAATCAGAGAAAACCCGAAGTATTTTTCAAATACGCCCAGTCCAAGGCTAAAATAAAGACGCCAGTGGGTCCGCTGAAGGATAACGATGTCCTTGTAGGAGATGACAAGGAGTGGATGAGAGGAGATCCCAGTGTGAGTTACTGGGATCACAGTTTGAATCAGTCGTCAGTAACCCTCGCTACACAAGGGGGGAGAACGAAATCGAAGTTCTCCAGGAACTACCAGGAAAAAGGGGGTTGGAGAACATTGAGTGTGGGCCAGAAGGTATGGAAATAAGTATCAAAGAATTGGCAACGTTTTAAGCACCAGGACCCGACGGAATTCCGGCAGTGCTGTTGAAGAAGTGTGTTGGAGCAGTGAAGGCTCCGCTCACAATGCTCTGGAAAGCCTTGATGATGGAGGGAATTATTCCTGAGGGCCTAAAAGTAGGACTGATAACGCCAATCCACAAAGGACAGACCCCAAAATTACAGACCTGTGACCTTGACCTCACATGTGATCAAGGTTTTTGAGAAGGTAGTGGTCAGGAGGCTTGTCCGGTATATGGAAGAGGTTGACCTGTTTAATAACGGACAGCATGGTGTCCGACGTAATCATTCCTGTTTGTCGGGGTAGGAGGAAGCCTGTTGAGGTGGATCCACAACTTGCTTACCGATAGAGTACAAGCTGTCGCAATTGGAAACTCGAAATCGAGAGAAGCGAAGGTGAAAAGCGGAGTCCCGCAGGGCTCAGTGCTTGGACCGATCCTCTTCCTCATCCACATTGCCGACATAGAATCGGAACTCACCCACGCATCTACATCATCATTTGCGAACGATCCAAGAGTGCTGATGAAGATCACAGATGACCTAGACTGCGAGAGATTACAGGATGATCTATCGTCAATCTACGATTGGGCCCTAGTGAACAATATGCAGTTCAACGGCACCAAGTTTGAAGTAACGACAGAGATCGGATCATCGGAACGTCCGCACAGAGATCGGATCATCGGAATGCAAAATCGATACTCGGCATCAGATGGCACAGAAATTGAGGAGAAGCAACTAGTTCGAGGTCTCGGAGTGTTGATGAGCACTGAAGCCACGTTCGATGCCCATATCGAGGAAATAGTCGCGCGCAGTCGGCAACGGATGGGGTGGATATGGCGGACATTTCGAACGAGAGAAGCAGCACCAATGATTAAACTCTTCAGAGCTCTTGTGCTCCCCAATCTTGAGTATTGCTGCCAACTTTGGTCGCCACTCAAGGCGGGTGCGGTGCGAAAACTGGAGGCAGTGCAGCGGACCTTCACGTACAGGATCAGCGGCATAAGGGAGCTGAACCTGAACTACTGGGGAAGGCTGAAACATCTGGAACTCACTCACAGGAGAGAAGAAGGGAAAGGTATATAATACTGTACACTTGGAAGATGATAAACGGACTGGCTCCCAACTTTGAGAGTGAGACCTCCAAAATAATGACATATTACAACGAAAGAAGGGAGAGACTGTGCAGGATTCCCTCATTTAATAACCGAGCCGCGGCCAGAGTACAGACTCTTAGTGAGGGATCACTGTCCGTGGTAGGACCGAGGCTCTTTAATGCCCTGCCAAAAGCGCTGAGAGGAGGGGAGTTCACCCTTGCAACATTCAAGAGACTACTGGAAAAGTGGTTGAGAAAGATCCCGGATTGTCCAGTAATGGGGAACTACCCTCAGCAAGTGACAAGCAACAGCATCTTGCATCAACTGGCCCAAAGGAGGGCAAATAGACGGAACACGTCCAACGTTACATCCGACGACGACTCGGAGACGGAGGACGACGAAGGCGGCGCATCAGCGTGACCGTGGACTACGACGTCCTAAACTCATCACAAGATCACTGGCTCCCTTTCGTCCAGCAGGCGAGTCCAATCGTTCAACGTAGATAATAAGTTAGTGGTGC